AATATAAGAGAGTACGATAAGTGACTTAGGAAATTATCCTAAATCCTTTTTATTATTTAACTAAAAACGTGAAGGCACACGTAGGTTTATCATGCAGAAAACGTTTCATTTCATTGAACATGAATATCAGACAGCCTAATTATTTTTAAATTTGAGCAATGTCCGTGCTGTCAAAGAGAGCAATTATATTTAAAATTGCGTATCAACTATCAATTAATGTAATCAACGCGTTGTACACAATTAAATATTTCTAGGCGAATAGTTCGCGAATTCGTACGTGGAATTACATCATGGGTCATGTATCGCGGATAGTCTTTGTAATTATTAATTAAGAGTAGATAAGGCGGCCGCCACGACGAGAGTTCCGACGATACTTTGAATTCATATTAAATTTTCGGATGTTTAGATGTTAGATAATCAAATGATTGTTTAGGTCTGCCTTTGGACTGCATAATTGTTTATACAACGCTGAATTTGTACCATAATATTTTTTTAAACGGCATCACTCCCATTACCAAACATTATCTGATAAAACGTTATTACTTAATACAATATCGATTGTATTAAGTAAAAACGCCCGGTAATTGTTTGGTCGGTTTTTATATCTTGTAATTAACATTGTAGCTCATTATTATTGTATCAAATTTAATTGATGGTGTTTTTGTCTGATGCATTTTTTAAATAAAAATAATGATTGATTTTATTTAATAAAATATCTTTTTATGTATAAATTTATGTAGGTTTATTTAAAACCATAGAACAGATACAGTCCATTAGGTACATGCAATGTTTTATACTAACGCAACACTTATATTCCTAAGACTTTAACTTAATCGAATAATGCCACTTTGGTGAAGACAATTTATATACATACACACTGCTAGTTCAAAATATCATAAGTTGTTTTATTAATTGATAAGAATGTATGTAAGAAATTAAATTTTTGTTTCCAATTTGCGTCGAATGAGAAGGTTTTTGGCGCCACGGAGGCCTACTTTACAGATAGAATACGGGTTAAAGAAGCTGGAACATCGTAGGGTCAAGTGTATCGACCTCAAAGGAGATTTTGTTGAGAAATAAATCGCCACTTTTCCAAAAACAAAAACACATTTATTTTTTTGTAGGCTAAGTACTTATTGGACCACCCTCGTAAGAGCATTAAAATTTGCTCATGTAACGTCTCAACAATTACAGCCTCATTATCGCCCAGCCAATAAAACCCGGCCAAATACTGAACAAAAATACTGTATCAATGAAGAGAACATTAAAATTGCGTAGGTATACCAAAATGTATCTACGCAACGCGTGGGACCGAAATTTTCTATATTAATTTCTATCTTTTATCATAATTTCGAGGAGTGCAACACGTACAATTTTTGTTTTTAAAAACGAACTTAGTACTCATTATTAAAGGACTGGGGCTCATCTAAATGTACTATAATAAACAAGGGGTTCATAAAGGATAATTATATCCGAGCACCTTTGATGTGACGTGAAAGGGGATGTCATGATGATCGATATTATTAATGCAGCGTAACCCTATCCAAAGCCGACTGTAGTACGTCCTATTGCGTTTAGTACAGACTAATAAATGATAGAAAAGTCACGATACATTTTATATGGAATATTTAGAAGCGATTCGTGGGCGTTTTTATAATAATACAAATACGACTTGGATCGTTCGAATAGAATACGTGTTTACACTGGTTGTCTGAAATTTCGAGGTGTCAAAACCGAAGTTGAAACGAATACTTGACTGAACTATTGTAACCTCAACCATTCTTGAGCGATTATAAGTATTTTCCAAATGTCTACAATTATTATTTTATAAATATATTATGTAGACCTAAGCTTATCTATTCCCCGCCTGAAAGTGTCAATCAATAAACAGCCATATCAAATTGGATTCCGGGAAAGCCAATATCCGTATTTTGCTGAATTTAAAATATTGTAATGCGTAGGTTGTCTAACGCGAAAATGCACCTAAATTGACTCGTTCATTTTAGCTTTTTTTAAAACTTGACGCTGGATGAGGTAATAAGTTTTGTACTATAAAGATCAAAGGCGATGTTTGTAGCTGACGCTTTATATCCATCACATATTCTTTTGTTCTTTTAGTCCCAAGTGTAATATAAGTGAAGTTTTGGAATCATTTTCTTTTTAAATTTAATATTAAATAAAATAAGTAAATAAAAACATTGCTACATCAAAATCGTTTAAAAATAATGTCTTTATGTATCTGAAATAGATTTTCCATACAATTTTTATACTTAGCGAAATGCCTTTTATTCGCACAGAGGTATATTTTGATACTGTAACGTTTCCGAGTATTATAATACCCGAAACTCAATTTGATCTATAGATCTATAGATCAAATTAAATCCATCAAAGGGCTTAAGTAAATTTGTTTTTAGTAATATCACTAGTGAATAGTGAAATTTGGTCCTGATAAATATTTGTATTGTTCGAATGCACACAAATGAAATTCCTGTATTATTAAAATACGGACTACGGTTCGAAATTGATTTTATTGAATCGTTATGAAAGCGAAGTACCGCTTTGTATTTGCCATACCTGTATAGCCATTTCAGCTTGTTTTATTGTTAACTAGCGGGCCTGTGTGTCCTGTATACACATCTTAAATACAAAATATAAAATTTTAAAAATCATTTAATTCTAATGCGAACTATTCTCTAATCCACTCATCACTCATAAAAATCGGACGCACGCATTTATTGCATTACGGCTTTGTCGACAAGATTACATCGTCTTGATCGTGGCATTGTCAATTATAATATCGAAACGGAATAAGCTAACATAAACTCGAAATGAACACATCAGCCGATCAACTTAAAAACTTTTAATTGTCAATTTTTCAATCATACTTAGCCATAGATAACATTACGTATAGCTTTTCGTGTGTTGCGTTTTGCTATACCATTTTTATCAAATGAAGGGGCTGGACTGATGTTTTGACTGATAATGATAAAGCGTTTTGTTATGACACGTCCCACGGAAACAGGATAAAAAAGTCCGTGCTATATCCCTCTCCTGGTTGTAAGGTACCTCCCCACCAATTTTCAGCCAAATCGGTTCTACGAGAGCTTTGAATTTATTTAGTGATAATTCTCTAATTACGGGAGTTTGTTGTAAAAACGAATACAAATTCCATATAAGGAATTCTCACAAGAGCTATAAATCCCTAATAAAAGATTTTAATTTTGAATCTGATTATTGTGTGAATATTTCAATCATCAAAGAGTTCGATCACAAACAATGTATAAAAACGTTATTGGATTTCACAAAGCAAAACCTGCTCATACCAAAATAATTATGAAAGTATGTGATTGTTTTTTGTTAAAATTCGGATTAAAATAAACCTTTGAAATGATTTCAAAAATAATTACATATGAACGTATTTCACTGGTTAAGTTAAATAAAACGTGATTTTACGACAAGATACACAGAGTTTAATTTAAGCCTCGCTTTTATAATAGTCTTCCTGTATTCATTATTTTTAATTTGAACTTTTCTCGATATAATTTTATCGTCGAACAGTTTTTCACAGTCCAGTTTTAATATTAAAAATGTTATGTAATATTTATTAAAAATTAATAATAAGCTTAATAATTTAATCTGGAATATAGTGTAATGGTAACAATATTAATAAAATTAAACTTATAAACATAAACTAATAATAATAAAATAATATACCCTTGGTCCGTGGGGTCCTAGCGCTTTAAGGCTTTTTAAAGAAATTTCAAAAAGGTTAGTCGACATCACAGGAGACCGAAGATCTGGCAGCTACCTCGGACAAAGAATTAGTCTAGCAATTCAAAGGGGGAACGCTGCCAGTATCTTCGGAACCTTGCCTAAAGGGACTCCTTTTAATGATATATTTTAGTTTATGTTAAGTTTCGTTATTTATTAAAAATTGTTTTTAACATGACATACTATTTTTCTCTTTCAAGTTTTTGAGCTGAACTCAAAGTCGTCCATTAAATTTATTTTGTATCTAAAACGTTTACTAACAGGAGTTTTTAATTAAGTTTTTCATTAAATTTATTTTGTATCTAAAACGTTTACTAACAGGAGTTTTTAATTAAGTTTTTCATTAAATTTATTTTGTATCTAAAACGTTTACTAACAGGAGTTTTTAATTAAGTTTTTCATTAAATTTATTTTGTATCTAAAACGTTTAGTAACAAGAGTAACTTTCCCATTAGAGATAGACAGAATCAAATACAGAATAAAATCCCCAGACGGCATAATTTTACTAGTATAGGTGTAGTTTCTGTACAATTACATTAATTTCAACTGTGATTCCCCTCGATGTACTATACATTTGCGCATTGTTTTCAGTCTCACAATGTAAGCGAGTGTGTCTATATTATCATGCCTGCAGCTAATAGAGGCGTTTTTCGGATATACATATAGGTACTTTATGTTACTGATCTATCGAATGTGCCATACCAGCTGATACGCTTCTGAAGATAAATTTAAACTTTGCGCAAGATCTATTGCGTTGTGACGTATATAGGCCGAATATTTATATCTCTCTGATGTTTTTATGTTAACAAAACAATTCCTTTCCGTTGTTAAAGTTTTAATAGCTCCAGAAAATCTATGATGAAATTAATGTGTTTCCGGTGGCCGGCTTATATATCTGTTTTAAATTAGGATGACAAGCGTTGTATTTCCTTAAACACATTTCAATTTTATGGTTTAGTATGGTCTACGTATCTCTTAAAACTTTATTTTTTTCTAGTTTATTATATGAAGTAAGCGCTATTAGTAGCTTCAGAGATAGCCCTAAGGGCAGACATTTCAGTTTCTTTTTTCTTTATTATTATTTTTTTTTTTGGTCGGCCTTCAATGGAGTTTTGGGTTTTGAGTCTAACATTCCTTATATTTCCTTAACTGTACGAGTTATTGCCCAAGTGGAGAAAAATAGAGTTTATAATATATTGATTAAAAAATATAAGAAATCTTGCTTGCAGGAGTCGTGCGGGAGCGACATTGGATGGCCGCTTCAGGACTTCAGTGGATGCCGGTGGAGTGCGACTCACGGTCTCTTCAGCCCAAATTGACGATAGTGGCGTCTATACCCTACAAGTATATTTTATGATATAAACTGGAGCATTAGAAAGATTGCTTATTACCATGATTTCTTATCGCGTCTTTTAGTTAATCAGGAATCAACTTAAGTAGTATTTTTATTATACTTACACATCAAAAATTTTGAATATTTTTTTTAATAATTTAACTGTTAGTAGCGACAAATTAACTCCAGTTATTGTGTTGTTATATCCAGTCCAAAAAGACCCGCAAAAATATGATCAAGAAAGGCTACGTAGTAGGCCATTTGTATTTAAACATTTGCTTAGCATACTTTTCTGTTGTCTTTCTTTCCTATACTTTCTCTTTAAATCCAGGCAAGCAATGCTGCCGGAAAGGACACGACTCGAGTTTCATTGGAGGTCTCTCCGGATGAGACACCTACAGGGGACGACCCTCCCACTTTCCTACGGCGACTTCAGGACCTCACTGTAAAGGTCGGGACCAGGACTAGGTTCCTTGTGGAAATCTTAAGCTCCACTGAGTGCAGGGTTAGTTTCATTAAAACTGTGATAAAGCTATTAAGGCCAATCTTATTTCGACTATGTGTTTGCGTGTTTTTCCCACGAGAATGTAAGTGCGTGCTCCTATTTCACCATGCCTCCTGCTGATAGAGGACAAGTCTTTGTTTTTAATTTATGTTATTATTATTAATTACTTAAGATGTCATGTGGAACATGGTGTAATGGTTGCAGCTCCTTACAAACGTAAAAAAAAACATGGCGAATAAAAAGAGTGGCGGAGAGTTTATTGCCAGTTCTTTTCTTCCGTTCTACGCCCTTGATTTAAGAACTGGCAATAAATGTAAAGTTAGAAGATTTCATATACATTTCTTTTTTTTTCTCATCTCTGAGATCGTAGATTCGATCTAATTATTCCAAGTACCGTATAATCTTGCACTAAATTAAGTATTTAAAACACAGCTATGTCATTAATTTTCAATTTAGGTTCAATTTTGCCATTTTCAGAATATGAATGTTTTGTCAGCCCTTAAACTAACTTTAATCTAGACAGTCTACATTACAATTTACGCCCTTGTCGCTTGACGTGCGACACGTTCAAAGGCTGTCAATTGGATCGAAATTACACCTGCGGAATAATATAAATTAAAATTCTTTTTTGATGTGTCTCTGTATTCCAATATTAATTCATTCTTGTACTGACCCAAACCTAATGATTATGGCGGAGCATTTTTTGTGAGGTAAAACGATTGGAAAATTCTATTGTGTCCCTTTATTATATAGGCAATGTGTCAGTGTAGCGATATGACATACTATTTTAAATAATGATGTTATAATACAGCCTTCGTGAGAATGAAAATCGAAACCATACGTTTAATTGTGATTTTATAAACGTGCATTCGTTTTTCCAATCACGCGTAATAATATTTGATGTCGTTATTCGTTTCTTCAAAGTATGTTTACATGCTATTGTTGCGAATTGATCGCTCAAATGAAAATAGCAACGTAGACCTGATTGTGCCCCCAATATTTAACGAAAAATCAACATCATGAAAACGATAATGAACCATTAGGTGTGGTTTGGCTTGACATTAACTTTTTGGTAGAACCTTTTGCTCATAAATATGTTTTATCATATTTTAATAAATATACTAAATGAGTAGCGTGAGTAAAGTGCGGTGGCGGTTGTCGAAGGGATGTTAACATAAATGAAAATCTCTGTTTAAAGCTAAGTTAAACTATGATTGATCTCAAAAACACAAACATTTAAAACATTTCTTTTCAAGCAGATTAATCTCAACTCAGATCAACATTAGTTGTTTTTTCGAAATCCGAGGTAAGGAAATAAATTGGCACTTAAAGAAATTAGCCCCACGCCTCACAAATTATCACTGTTATATAAAAAAATGTCCATCTGGTTATTATTTTGGCTTCACATTATGCCGTGATCTGAAAATCGATTGTCAACTATTTTCCTAACCAACTCTATGATCAATCAGTATTTTATTATTTACAAGGGAAAATACGCACAAATCGCTTTACACGTGACGAAGTAATGAAAGCGAGAAAATCTGCGAACATAAGCCTGTTTGCATATTTCAATGAAATAATTGAATTATTTTTGCTATTCAGTTTATTAAACAAAGGCTCGGAAGCAACTTTAAAATGCCATGCGATAATTGAAAACGCGTTCCAAATAGAATGTTTTAACCATGCAACATTTAAAAAAGTATAAACATATTTGTGGCGCATTTTTGATTTCTTTGTTCACACTAAATGGCGGACGTGCTCGTAAGTGGAATAAACCAATCACAATCAAACGAAACGCGCCATAGTATTCGTAATTCTTTTTCTATTGTTCGCTTAAATGTTTGCGTATATAACCTATGTTATTTTTACACCTCATATATTTTTACACATAAAATTATGATGCAAAAGCAAAATGTCCTCTCACGTTCAGGGGTTCAAACTCTAAAAGTTGACTTCTTTTTGACGGAAATTTAATAAAACAGACATTAATGTATCTGTAGAAATAATACAAAAAGCTTTAAATAATGAGTATTATCGTTTTAATAATAACTTGCGGACGGTCCCAGATCCGCAGGCCTGGTTCCATATATATTTTTTGTAAATAACTATAGCCTGTGTTATGCCATAGTAGTATAGCATTCGAAAGGTGAATGAATTTTTGAAATATATCCAGTACTTTTCCAGTTTATTCATTACAAAAGTACAAAATTTCATAAGTCTCGATAAAACGGAATCTTTCATTACAAAATTCCTATGACTCATCAATAATAGTAGAAAATTCGATATGGCAAAAATATTGACAAAGACAAAAAAGAGTCCAACTTCGGATTCGAAGTAGTTTCGGATTCGGACCGGAAAGAGACAACCTAGGATTTCGTAGAACAACTCATTACACGTTGATTCGTTTGTTAATTATAGATTGCTTCTAAGAATTGGTCATAGCACCTGAACTACAACTGTCAATTAGTTGACATAATATTCTCTAGCAGTATTTTAAGTACTAAAATAGAATCGAGCTGGTACTGAAATTAGCCTGTAGCTAGTAGTACCGTCACGTTCAGGTTTTATGCAAACAGATTTGAATTTAGTAAAAATGTTTAAGTTGTATTATGTTATGTTAGCGATTAATGAATATATCAGTGTAAATTCATATGTTTGTTTATTCCTTATTTTAGTGCGAATCTAGGGTTCTAGAAGAGATAGCGAAAGTATTTTACCTTAACCTTGAAAGGGTTCAAGGCGTCAGGACAGGTCATGGCATCATGTCCTTGAACCTGTTACCCAACGTACAACTAAACCGTCGTTAGCCTAGAAATTTGATGTGAAATTGATGACCTTCTCGACGGTCTACCGTTGTTTTGTTTTTAACCAACCACTAAAGGAGGTTCTCAATATATCAAAAACATTTTTCTGTACGCTCCTATAGAAATAAACTCATTGAGAAATCCCAAATAGCCTTGAACGACGATGGAATTCGTGCGTAACTGTGTGACATAACTCTTCTATTTTAAAATACGATGTGGGAGTTCTGTTTTTAAAAAATTTACAAGATCTATAATTCTATCGTCTGTGATATGTGACGGTTTGAACAAAAGGGCATTTAATTAATTCAAGCCGCCCCCTCGCGAAATGTTGTATGACTGCTCGTCCGAATCATACATGAAAGCACCCTTGCCCTTGATAATACCTATACATTAAAATCAAAATGTCAAGGGCACCTTCATCAAAACTAAATGCTTCTGGTGAATAACGTATTGTATTAACGTATATTTGTATGATTATAAAATCGTATTTATCGTTTGCAGAATTAAAAATATTAAATACAAAATTAATAACTTTTAGACATATGCCGTCTATTTTAAAACTTTTAAATAGGTTCGTTAATTCCGTAATAGATACCTGTTTTGCGTAACAATCACAACTTAGGCGGGGCTTTTAACGAAACTTTCAAAAGTGAATAATTTTTCCCTTTTATTTCCAACACTTATGCTTGAAATGTCCCTCGATACATGACTAAAGGACTATTATGTACGCAATATAATTGTTATTCGAAGTAGTAGTTCCTGAGGTTTTAAATATCTGTTTTCTGGTCATTTATCTTTACAAGTGGGATCCGGCTTTACCGTTTGTGTTTTAAATACAAGAAATAAAATTGTCAATTTTAAATTTTGGACAAAATGATAATTGCCTGTATGGGCCGCTTAATCTTTTCATGTTTTTCTAGATACTGTTATTATAATTCTTTTGACTACTACCAACATTTTTTTTTAGGTGACATGGTATCGTAATGAGCGTCGACTTCTGGAAGCGGAGAGGATTGCTCTGGTACGCGACGGCAACTTCTGGTGCGCAGATGTTGCGACAGTCACCGTAGACGATGCTGGAAGGTGGACCTGCACTGCTGAAAACCTAGGAGGAAGAGCCAGCTGCTCTGCACATCTCAATGTATTAGGTATATTTTCATAAAAGCATGCCAGTTATATAGGTCGTCTTTTCTATATAAAATAAATTAATTTGGAGATATGTTACAAAAATAAACAACTAGTTTATATTGAAACCATTAGTCCACCACCAAAGGCCACCATTATATCTTGTTCCGGACTTGCCTGTTGTCCTATCTTTTGTTCAACGAAATTTTATATTATTTTTCCACCTCTCCACCTTCTGTTACGGATAACATGGACCTCCTTTTTCGCGTCGAAACAGAGAGTAGGAAGGATGCCTGTGAAGGATGCCTTCAGGGGCGAAAGCAAAGTCTAAAGAACCTGCTTCTTCGGAAGTAGTTTATAATTTACCATTACATTGGGTGGAGGAGAAACGTATGTATGTATGAAGTCGAATAAAAGTGAAAATTGGTCTTGATCATGAATGGAAATAAATGAATGATTTGAACACTTAAAAAATGGTTGTCATTATACTGTTGTTTGTTTCCTTCCTCCGAATTCTGTTAGCCTATATCAAAACTAGTTGGTTACGCGTTATTATAATACCAAGAAATCATTAAAAACAATTGATATGCTGACATAATTTCTATTGTTTCAATATTACTAATTTGTTTGTATATAACTTACAAACAAATAATATAAAATGCTTATCATAAATTTTACAACAATGCCTTACTTTTAAACCAAGCGCAATATTTCGTAATTTCTCTGAATTTAAGAAATACATCATCCGTTTAATAAAAAATTGTATTCAAATGTATATTACAGGCAATTATTTATTTTATTTTCGTTGCAAAAACCAAAACAATTTATTAAAATTAAATAATAAGGAGGGCAGCGGGTGGCCTAAATAATTTTGAGAGATATTTAACGTCGATTAAAGTTTTTTTAATTACTTTTAACACTAAGTTTTAATTAAATTTCTTCAACGGATAATAAAAATGATAACATTATATACCATTATTTTTATTAGTCACTAGCCGCCCCCGCAAACTTCGTTTCCCTTAATTATGGTATTGTTATTTAGTTATAGGATATACTTTAATAATATCCAGGGGCTTGTGACAACATTACTTTTCGACCGGCGTGACCCCCAAACGCCAAACCAATTATCATAATTAGTACGAAAATTGTCACGTGTAAAGGGTGATGTCTCTTACTATACACATAAGGGATATAGTATATACTTGTGACGGATGTTTGACACAAATGGATTATTATGAGAAAAAGGACCGACAGCTTTTAACATCTTGTTTGGCGGTGTTCACCACAACGCCAAATTAAAAATATCAAATGTTACTAAATATTCGACTTAACCCAGGATTTAGTAAACCAATTGCGGTTCGCTTGTAGTGCCCTTTCATATCCTCTGTAACTAATCTATCGTCTATGTTGAATATTTAAGTGCCCAAGGCGTACAAACGTCCGGAGTTTGTAGAAGAACTACGCGCCATACTCACAGAACAGGGAACAGTGTCGCTGGAGTGTAAAGTTATTGGAGTGCCCACTCCTGTACTGAGGTGGTTTAAGGTGAGCTAATATCATATTGCATGGACATTGTCATGTGCAAAACTCGCGTCTCAGTGACATTTCTAACGCTTTTCGGGACTAGGTTTTTTGTTTTATTAAATCAAATTTAATGCATTAGGTACTTTTGGTTTAGTAAGAAGTATTATTAAACTAATAGCAACTTCTAAAGTGCTATAATACTATTCATGAGTTTTTATCTAAGGTATATAATATTACAATGAGCAGTGTTGGCCTAGTGGCTTCAGCGTGTGACTCTCATCCCTGAGGTTGTAGGTTCGATCCCCAGCTGCACCAATGGACTTTCTTTATATGTGCGTTTAACATTCGCTCGCACGGTGAAGGAAAACATCGTGAGGAAACCGACTTGCCTTCGACACAAAAAGTCAACGGCGTGCGTCAGGCACAGAAGGCTGATCCAAGTACTAGGCCATTAGATTACCAAATGATCATGAAACAGATACAGAAATCTGAGGCCCAGACCTAAAAAGGTTGTAGCGCCATTGATTTATTTATTTTATATAATATTACAGGAATAAAAATTTTGTTTCTCTTACAGGACAGTAGAGAAATAAAAGCCGGTGACGTGTTTGCACTAACAGCCAATGCCGATGACCCTACCTCCCTTGGTACTTACACCTGCGAGGCAATCAATTGTATGGGGAGGGCCTATTCCTCATCGAAGGTACATGTCATTGGACGCGCCAAGGAAGGATCAGATAAGTCAAGTTTTGGGTAAGTCTCTTTGCCTTTTGAACTTTAACTAGATTTAATTAATAAATAGTCTAAAACCACCATTTCAGAACCTGATTTTATTGGGTTCTTTTCATTTCCAATGAAATAGTATTTATATGCGAATATCCTTTGTCTATGCATTGTAAAACCGAATCCCTCTTTTATCTCTTGAAAACAGAATATTAAAATAATAGCGGATTGTAAGCTGCTACATGGAAGCTCGTGTTTTTGTTAGATGCAATTTACTTTTTTTTAATCAATGTTGCTCTATTAATATAAAAGCGACTTAATACTCCCTCAGTAGATATTTACGTTAATACGAAAAAGCGAAGTATATTTATAAAAAACCACAATCTGGTCTGGAATCTAATTAAAAATACACGATATTGGCAATCAATCTAACCTTTCCCTTTGTTCTTAATTGTCAAATATTTCCTATTTCTCTCTCCGTTTGACACATTTATATACGAGTATGAGTATAAGTATGAAAATGTCACACGGACATAACAGGATCTGTACTCAGGGCAACAATGTTTGATATTTGAATTTATGGCGCCGCAGGATTGTCGAGGACGACATCTGTTGATATTACAGTTCTGTTCTGTTCTGTTTCAGTTCTTTATGTTATTCGTCGGTTCCCAGTTTCTTTCTTGACTAATCATAATCAATCAAAACGCCATTTTTTCATAGTTAGGCACAGGGATTTATAGTTAACCCGTGTACATACATACTGGCTTCTAAATGCCTTATTCTCTTGTTGCTTAGCGGCCTCACACCGGATCCTCCGCCAATATTCACCAAGGAGCTTGAAGATCAGTTTGTAAGAATTTGCGATCATCTTTCACTGGGATGTCAGATAGTGGTGCCACCCTGGCCTCGTAGCGTTGTTTGGTACAATAAGGAAGGAAAGATTGATTCTAGTACAAAGTGAGTTTTTTGAAGACATTTTGTAGTTACTTTTTCTTTATTTGAGTCTTTTTATGATTAATTTAAGTGTGCTCCTCTACTAAACACGTATAGTATGTTACTTAACATGTATATACATACACGTTTACTGAATGCATTGCGTTTTTTATAATAAAAAATAAATAAATCAGTGGTACTATCAGTGGTATTGTGATCATTTGTCAATCTAATAGGCAAGTAGGTGATCGGCCTCCTGTGCCTGACACACGCCATCGACTTTTTGGGTCTAAGGCTAGCCGGTTTCCTCACGATGTTTTCTTTCACCGTTCGAGCTATTCTTAAATGCACACATAGAAAGAAAATCCATTGGTGCACAGCCGGGGCTCGAACTTACGAGCTTAGGGATGACAGTCGCATACTGAAGCAACTAGGCCAACACGGCTTTTTTATTATAAAGAGAGTATATTTTATGACCAACACTTAAATATCCGAGTTACGAGTATTCGCTTAGAAAAATTATACGATTTTGTACCGTTCTCGTAAAGAAATATCATTTATTTTCAATACGAATATTAAAAAACTGCGAGTAAACTTTTTTGCATCCAGTTGTGTTTCAACTTACTATTTTATAGATACCACATAATTGAGGATGGCGTTGGAGGTTATATGATAGAAGTTTCGGCTTCTGAGTGGGCTGACGAAGGAGAGTGGAAATGCGTAGCAACCAGCGCTGGTGGCAGGGTTGGTATTTCAACCTGCAGTGTCACAATGGATGGTAAACTTACTTACTTACTTGAAGACAAATAAAAAAACGAATTGTATAAATCGAATAGAATAACTGAGATATATTAGCTTGATAAAGTCTCGATTTACATGCCTTATTAATATAATAATATAAAGCCAAAACAATGTAATGTGTATATTTTACAGAAACAAATTTGTCTAAAATTCAATCAAATTTGACGTAATTAATTATGCAGGTACTTTTTTTGACTTGCTGTGCATCCAAGATACAATGATTATTCTATTATTTTATAAATTCATTTATATCTCGGAATTTCTTAAGTAGTAAATATCTTCACTGCTAAGCAAATAAAATATTATTATTTTTGCTTTTTATCATTTACACACACAAATAATTTACAGTGCCTAAGAATTATAGAAAGCCACGCTTCATGGAGAACCTACAGGCTATCCTTACTGAAGAGGGTCTAGTCTCTTTCGAATGTAAAGTTGTCGGCTTCCCTACTCCAATACTCAGCTGGTTTAAAGATGGTCAAGAGCTGAAACCTGGAGATGTTTATCAACTCACGGGAACAAATTCGCTCGGCTCATATTGCTGTATCGCACGAAACTGCATGGGCCAAGCTAGCAGTTCAGCAGAGCTCACCGTTGAAGATATCCAGAACCAACTGAACGAAGAGGAAAAGCTACAGTTGTTCTCCAAAAACCAAGCACCTAAGTTTTTGCAAGGACTTAAGAGTGTCGAAGTAAAAATTGATGAGCCATTCCGCTTTACAATCAAAGGTAATGTCCGGCTTGGACCTATACTTTATAGTATTCTGTTTAATTTTGGGTTTATTCTTATTTTTGATTCTGTTTTTTATTTGATTGAAACGAAAAATATTGTTTTTTTTAGTTGTCATTCCGCCTGAACCTACAGTATTATGGTATCGAGATGATCAACCTATGGATGAGTCTCCTCGATGTCACCTCGGAAAGGAAGACCGAGGTGTATTTTTTTTAGATATAAAAAATTTAGAACTTATGGACCAAACTGAGTGGAAATGTGTAGCGATGAATGACTATGGTCACAGTGTTACGTCGTGTTTCTTAAAATTAATTATTCCGCGACATTATAAAAAACCAAGATTTTTGGAAAACCTTCAAGCCATTCTTTCAGATGAAGGTGCTGTTAATCTTGAATGTAAAGTAATTGGCGTACCACAACCTGTATTGAAATGGTATAAAGATGGAGAAGAATTGAAACCAGGTGATATTCATAGAATAATATCAGGTCAAGATGGAACGTGTTGCCTTGGAACTTATACATGTGAGGCGCAAAATTGTATGGGCATTGCTGCCAGTTCAGCTTCTCTCCTAGGCTTTGAAGATACAGTCAAAGCTAAAAAAAAGAGAGCTGATGACCAAATATTACAGCGCAATTTGTCATTAAGCACTATCCATGAAGAGAGAACTTCACAAATGTATGACACACCTGTGGCTGATGTAACTTTAGATGAAAAAGGAGAAATATCATTTTCTTTTGATGGAAAAGAAGTTTCAGTATCACTTTATGAAACACCTGATTTAACAGAAGAAGAAGCACTGCAAATAGTAGAAATGTACGCTGATCAGTTATCGGAAAATGTCACAGAACATAATGTTATAGAACTGCCTCCTTTAAGATTTGTTAAAGAAACATCTACATCTGGTAATCTTCTGATGGAAGCTATTATTATAGATGTTTCACCAGACTATTTTGTACCGCCTGAAGAAGATTTAAGAACTGAGGCCGATATTGAAGATATTTCAATAGCAGAAGAAAATGGACAACAGCAATTATCTTTTGATCAAGAAGTTGCAGAAGAATATATTGATAAAACAATGGCTTTACTGTCTGATGAAAAATCTGACATAGTCTTAAAACCAGTTCGGCGAAAATCTGATTCACACAAAAGTGGCGAAGATTACTTTAGCTTATCAAGAGATCAGTCGATCTCTGAAGAAAAAAAAGACGATGACACGCAAATCTTATCTGAAAGTATTTCTTTTGCCAGCGCACATAGCACCGGGAAACAAAAGTCAAAACCGTCTCAAGAAGATGACGTAGGCACCCAGGAATCGTCAGATATTACCAAAACGGTATTCTTAAGAGAAGAGCTTCGGACTAGTTTAGATATAGAAAATAAAAGTAGTAAACTAGTAGGTAGCGCTAAACGCGATTCCTTAAAATCAATATCTAGTTTTAAACAAGAGGAAGTTGACTTCACTAACTTAAATGAGAATATGATTTGTATTAGCTTATCTTTATCTAAAATTCTGAATAATGTTGAAATGTTGGAAAGAGATATTATTTTACAGTCTCAGTTGATGCCTACTGCTGCAATAGCTTCAAAAAGCCTAGAAATTATTAACAGTATTATTAGTCCTTTAACTGAAATACATAGCATTACTGACGTTTTTAAAGAATCAATGAATGAAACATCCGATGCTAAACCTATATTACTTACTAAGCTTCCACAGTGCTTGAAAGATCTTCAAAACTCTTTGGCAATGGTTGAAAAATGTGTTGATGTGGGAAGTGATAAAACTCTTATTAATAACACTTGCATTTCTATACTAAATAATTGTGAAGAAGATATGACTAAATTCGTAGAAAAAATTAGAGAAATTCCAGAAAAGTATCCATACCTGATTGATGAAACGGCTTCAACAGAGATAAAACTGTTATCCAACGATATTCTTAATATAATTAACATTGCCAAATCTACGGTCAATAATAAATCTAAACTTAATCAAGAAACTCATAAACAAGAAATATCAATTGATAAGCAACATTTGAATAATACCCAAAAAGCAATATATCACTTAAAGGTTCCGCTTAATTCTCTCTGGGACATTATTGAAAATGCTTTGAAAAAAAGTCTGTTAAGCTACAATGAAACTAATAATGCTGAGGCAATTCTATTTAATATGTCATCATCTATACAAGACTTACAGACAGCGTTAGAGCAGATCGAGTTTCTATCAGTTGAGGAATCAAATTCGTCTTTGCCAAAATATAATACTACAACAATAGAAACCGTTATAAGTTCGGTTTTGAAATTGAGAAACTCCTTTGAGAGCCTTTCTTTTGAAAAAGAAAAAAAATATGACAAAGAACAACTGGGAAGTGTGTTACAAGTTATAAAAGTTGACTTGGAGGATATTTCTTTTCGTATTAACGATATAGAAAAGACTATTGGTTCATTTGATGTTTTATATGGAGACAATAAATTAGAAATCCTACAAAGAATGGCACACGTATTAATAGCTTTAGAAAATTCTTTGCCAGTCTTAAACTCATTGCCAAATGTTCAAACAACTTTATCAGCATTTCATAAAAATCTAACTAAAGCATTAGAAAATGCTATAGAAAGTAATGAAAGCGCTAAATACTCTGCACTTTTGCATATATGTGACGTAGTAAGTAGAATAAACGTCTCAATCAAAGGTTTTGAATCAAGCAAGTTTATATCTTTAACAAGCATACTAAACAACTTTAACATTATTGAGGAAAATCTTAAAAGCCTTAGTATTGATCAAGGTATACGTGAAGATATATTAAAAAACGTTTACCAATGCTATGTTGATATTCAAAATGTTATAACAACTTATGCGGAGGATATGAGTATTAAAATGGATTCAGAACCAGTTGAAGATATATCAACGGATCAATTTTACACTGAATCAAAAGCCAACTTAGTAGTTCAACATATCGATCAAGTAATAGCTGCAATTAACAATGTTTCTGCAGAAGAGGTGACTCCAAGCCTCTGTTGTATTTTACCAATTTTGCAAAATACTTGTCCGGTTTTAGAAGAACTTAAATGTAGTATAGCATCTCTAGAAGAAAACATACAAGAAAATTCTCATGTATCTGAAATTATATCACAAAGTTTATTAGCACAATCTATTGAAACCCCGTTGCAATCAATTCAAGAAAATATTACAGTTCTAAATCAAGTACTTCTCGATACAGTAGGAGAGACAAATTCTAAAGACGATGCAATAGGTGTATTTGCAAAACCTCTTTATGAATTGTATACGACTTTACAAACATTACAAGAAAATGTTCTTTCAGAATATGAAAGTTTCTCACTTAGTGAAAATAGTGCCAAAATTGCAACCTCGACGGAAGTTCTTCGAAATTGCATTTTGATAGTAGAAGAAAAATGTTTTATTGAAGGATTGGATGAAATGTCCACTTTACAAGACATATCGTGTTTAAAAACAACAGCAGATCCTATTTCTGGAAGCAATTTAATATTACCTGTCATTCAAGAAACACATTTGGAAGCTCCTATTTTTTATACTTTAAAAAGTCGACCAGAAATTGCACATGAATTTCAATTACTACATGATGACATACTAGAGATACAAAAATTAGATATTCTTGAGGCGTTAAATGCTTTGTCTGAAGTTAAAGAATACGCTAATTTAAAATCAGTTACGGAAACAATAGAAGAAATACAGCATAAAATTGTCAGCATCCTATCCCCATTAGTTATGGAATCATTGAGTTCTGTCTCTAATTTAGATTTAGCTAGCAATAATTTAACAAACATTTCCGAATCTTTATTTAAATTAAAAAACCATTTAACTGTTATTGATCTTGATAACATTCCAATTTACGAAGACGTTTTAATGATACCATCTAATAAAATACATTATATAGTTAAAAATATATCCAATTTAAAAGAGCATTTAGACAAATGTATTTTGTCAGTACAACGCCATACAAACTTATTAGATTCAGAGGAAATTAAAGACTTATATTATGTGTGTAATGATTTTCTATCCTGCTCGAAAACAACTGTACAGAAATGTCCTTCGCAAAATGAAAATATGTATAACTTAGTAAGCTCTGTAGAGAACTTTTTACAAGTTATCAGAACCACTCCAGATTTGAATGCTGAAGAAGTCAAAAGCGTTTTCAACGACCTTTATAAAAGTATAATGAACATGGAAGATACGTTATTTGAGTATGTAAGTCCTACGGAAATTACTGTTACAAAAGAAAATCCGCTGGAGACAAAAATTCATAAACTGGCAAATAATATAGCGGCTTTGGAGCACTACAATGCTGATCTATCTGGTGCATCAAACACGGACTTTCCTCAGTCTGCGTCTCTGACATCTATAGAAACTGAGTACCTTAATAATATGGAAAGTGTGCTTGTACATAATGCCATAATTATGCAGAATTTAACAAATGAAAGCCAAATAACAGAGTTACAGAATAAAGATATAATTTTTATTCGAAATTTCATGGAAAAGTTGAAAAACAGTTTTTCTATAATACGTGTGCTATTAACGCAACGACCAAGTCATAAAAGAGTTATACGACTTTTTCAAGAATATTTTACACTCCAAATAAATATTTATAAATTTAAAAACGAAAAGTCTACACACCCACATCCAGAGGATTTCACGTATTTAGAAGACTTTTTTAATCAAGCTGAAGGTAGCTTAGACAGTATTAAACTATCCTTAATAAAACTTTGTAGTTCCATTTCAAAAACATTATTCAGAGAACCATTAACCAAAATTATTGATTCTATTGCTAACTTTCCAAATTACTTGCAATTGGACAGTATAATAGATTTACATGATTTGATTCAGAACTTTCTTATAATTGTTAATATAGCATCACCACATTTAGAAAGTTTGGAACAAAATGTTGTTCAAGAACTGGAAACATGCATATTTATAAATTCTGATGCAGAAAATAAATTGATAACAGACAGTTTAGACAATTTTTTGTCGCTTCTTGAACGTGAAATGGGTGATAATCCAGATAATGAAAAGGAAAAACTTTTAAAAGAAATGATAAAATGTTTTAGAAACCATCAAGATTATAAAAAAGCAGTAGGTACAGGAAAAAGAATGATTATCCTCAAGTTCTTAGCTGATTGTTCGGACATACTACGAAACCATTTCCGAACATTTGATACAGAAATAAAACTACTTGAGTCAACAAACCATTTTCCATTACAAAATTCACTTACCAAATTTATTCAACAACTCAAGTCATTACATTTGCAAATAAATAAAATGCAAGAAAATGTATGTATGTATCCAAAAGACGTAGTGCCTGATTTAATGATAAAAAATATTGCATCTTTAAAACAATTTTGTGAAAAACATCTGAATGTTTTCAGTCAATCTTCTTTATGTGAAGATGACTTTTGTCTCATTAATGATATTATTCATGAAATTCACTTAATTCAAGATAATATAAATAGTTTACAAAACGACCTTAAAATTTTAGAAGATTTAAAAAACATGGAAGACTTCTTTAAAAAAATGTTGTCTTCTGATGAAGTAACCAAAGATCACAAATTATCGAAGGGTAAATATTTTATTATCATACATGTTATATTTTACTATTTTATTTACATTTAAATTAAATTACAGTTTGTTTTTCAGCTGAAACAAAAAGTATTTTACAACATGTTGAACAGTATATAGAAGTAACTGAAATTATAGAAGAAATATCAGCGATAATCAATCTAGGTAACGTCAAGAAAACGAAAGAAATTGCACAAGAATTACGTGAAAGCCTTGCAGCTGATAATGCACAGTCTATGGATGCAGCTGAAGAACTGAAATACTGCACTGTTTCGGAAAATCAAGAAAACTTGGCTCAACGTCTACAAATATCATTGTCAAATATTCGAGAAAGTGAACTATTATCTTGCGACACACATATAAGAAAACACATACTCGATGTCATTACTAAGTTACAAGACGACTTAAATACTATCGCTACCACAGAAACATTAGCTGGATGTGCAAGCATAAATAAAATATCGCAAGATCCAGGGATTGAAATATGTGAGAAATCCTGTCATAATATAGGTTTACTCTCAATTAGTATTGATCAAGAATGCACTGCTCAAGACCCGTCTATTAAAAAGCACAATGAGAAAACAAACACTATTCCAGTCATACATCAAATTGAAGATACTATATCGAGTATCAGTGGTATTATTTCAGAAGAAATTTCAATTGACGCTAAAAACATTTACCCAGCCTTGGAAAATATTTGTCCTATATTAGAAGAACTTAAGCTAAATGTTGCAACGTTGCAGGAAAACATAGAAAGAACCGAATCACCTATATCTGATATTTCAGATAGTCCAGTTCAAAAAGCCTTTAGTAAACCGTTGCGTGATTTAGAAGAAAACATTATTGTTTTGAATCACTTAATACTCGAGTCCTTAAAAGGCACTACAGAAAACGAAAATCTACGTATGTTAGGAGTTCTTGCAAAACCACTTCATGAATTACATATTACATATCAAATTTTGCAAGAAAATGTCATATCACAGTACGAGAGTTTGTCATGTTTACAACCAAACATTAACTTTGCAGCAACAGAGCAAATCCTACATAGCTGTGTTTTGTTAGTACAAGAACCATATGAAGTAGAAATTGCTGACGAAATGTCTACTTTAGAAGATATATCTTGTATAAAAACTAACGCTGATTCAATATCTTCGGATGTACTAGCTGTTGCTCAAGATATGCAAGTTACATCAGAAGAATATTACACAAGCCATAAGCAAAATGAATCTGAATTTAATAAATTACCCACTCAACAAGAACAGACACAAACTATAATTAAAGAAAATATTTCTGTTTCTATTGAACAACCACTTAAACTGGAACACGCAATTTCGCAAGAAACAATAGTTTCTATTGACGAAGATAATAATGCTTTAAAAAAAAATCAAGTATCAAGAGAAGAATTAATAAGAAATGGTAAGGAACTTGAACAAGTGGATGTGCGAGAAATACAAGTTAACCTGGAAAAATGCATTGAAACCACTAAAACCAGTATTTCTTCATCATATGATGACCAACTCAAATCTAAACAAGCTATTGAACAAGACACAATTGATGAAAATATAAAAAAAACGGAGACAAATTTGACAGAAATAATTGAAGAATGTGTTGAACCTAAAAACTATAGTGATCAGAAAATCCAAGTTCCAACGCAAGAATGCCTTGAGAAAACTGAGGATAATATATCTGTACTGATTGATCAACCTTTTGTACTTGAACAAGCTGCTGCACAAGACACACAAGCTACGCTGGAAAAATGCATCCACACTAGTAAAACCAATATTTCTTCATCAGCGGACGATCAACTCAAATCTGAACGGGCTATTGATGAAGATATTAAAAAGACGGAGACAAAATTGACGGAAATAATTGAAGAATGTGTTGAACCTGAAAACGATAGTGATCAGAAAATCCGAGTTCCAACGCAAGAGTGCCTTAAAACAACGGAGGAAAATATATCTGTACTGATAGATCAACCTTTTGTACTTGAACAAACTGCTGCACAAGACACACAAGCTACACTGGAAAAATGCATCGACACTAGTAAAACCAACATTTTCTCATCAGATGACGATCAACTCAAAACTGAACGGGCTATTGATGAAAATATAAAAAAAACGGAGACAAATTTGACGGAAATAATTGAAGAATGTATTGAACCTGAAAACGATAGTGATCAGAAAATCCAAGTTCCAACGCAAGAATGCCTTGAGAAAACTGAGGAAAATATATCTGTACTGATTGATCAACCTTTTGTACTTGAACAAGCTGCTGCACAAGACACACAAGCTACGCTGGAAAAATGCATCCACACTAGTAAAACCAATATTTCTTCATCAGCGGACGATCAACTCAAATCTGAACGGGCTATTGATGAAGATATTAAAAAGACGGAGACAAAATTGACGGAAATAATTGAAGAATGTGTTGAACCTGAAAACGATAGTGATCAGAAAATCCAAGTTCCAACGCAAGAATGCCTTGAGAAAACTGAGGAAAATATATCTGTACTGATTGATCAACCTTTTGAACTTGAACAAACTGCTGCACAAGACACACGTGCTACACTGGAAAAATGCATCGACACTAGTAAAACCAACATTTTCTCATCAGATGACGATCAACTCAAAACTGAACGGGCTATTGATGAAGATATTAAAAAGATGGAGACAAAATCGACGGAAATAATTAAAGAATGTGTTGAACCTAAAAACGACAGTGATCAGAAAATCCAAGTTCTAACGCAAGAGTGCCTTGAAACAACGGAGGAAAATATATCTGTACTGATTGATCAACCTTTTGTACTTGAACAAACTGCTGCACAAGACACACAAGCTACACTGGAAAAATGCATCGACACTAGTAAAACCAACATTTTCTCATCAGATGACGATCAACTCAAAACTGAACGGGCTATTGATGAAGATATTAAAAAGACGGAGACAAAATTGACGGAAATAATTGAAAAATGTGTTGAACCTGCAAACGATAGTGATCAGAAAATCCAAGTTCCAACGCAAGAATGCCTTGAGAAAACTGAGGAAAATATATCTGTACCGATTGATCAACCTTTTGTACTTGAACAAACTGCTGCACAAGATACACAAGCTACGCTGGAAAAGTGCATCGACACTATTAAAACCAACATTTCTTCATCAGTCGATGATCAACTCAAATCTGAACGGGCTATTGAACCAGACACAATTGATAAAGATATTAAAACGACGGAGACAAATTTGACAGAAGTAATTAAAGACTGTTTTGAACCTAAAAACGACAGTGATCAGAAAATACAAGTTCCAACGCAAGAGTGCCTTAAAATAACGGAGGAAAATATATCTGTACTGATTGATCAACCTTTTGTACTTGAACAAACTGCTGCACAAGACACACAAGCTACACTGGAAAAATGCATCGACACTAGTAAAACCAACATTTTCTCATCAGATGACGATCAACTCAAAACTGAACGGGCTATTGATGAAGATATTAAAAAGACGGAGACAAAATTGACGGAAATAATTGAAGAATGTACTGAACCTGAAAACGATAGTGATCAGAAAATCCAAGCTCCAACGCGAGAGTGCCTTGAGACAACAGAGGAAAATATATCTGTACTGATTGATCAACCTTTTGTACTTAAACAAGCTGCTACACAAGACACACAAGCTCCACTGGAAAAATTTACTGATACTATTAAAACCAACATTTTCTCATCAGACGACGATCAACTCAAATTTGAACGGGCTATTGAACCAGACACAATTGATAAAGATATTAACACGACGGAGACAAATTTGACAGAAATAATTAAAGAATATGTTGAACCTAATAACAGTGATCAAATAATCCAAGCTCCAACGCAAGAGTGCCGTAAGACAACGGAGGAAAATATATCTGTAATGATTGATCAACCTTTTGTACTTGAACAAACTGCTGCACAAGACACACAAGCTACACTGGAAAAGTTCATCGACACTAGTAAAACCAACATTTCTACATCAGATGACGATCAACTCAAATCTCAACGGGCTATTGATGAAGATATTAAAAAGACGGAGACAAAATTGACGGAAATAATTGAAGAATGTGTTGCACCTGCAAACGATATTGATCAGAAAATTCAAGTTCCAACGCAAGAGTGCCTTGTGACAACGGAGGTTAATATATCTGAACTGATTGATCAACCTTTTGTACTTGAACAAACTGCTGCACAAGACACACAAGCTACACTGGAAAAGTTCATCGACACTAGTAAAACCAACATTTCTTCATCAGATGATGATCAACTCAAAACTGAACGGGCTATTGATGAAGATATTAAAAAGACGGAGACAAAATTGACAGAAATAATTAAAGAATGTGTTAAACCTAAAAACGATAGTGATCAGAAAATCGAAGTTACAATGCAAGAGTACATTGAGACAACTGAAGAAAATATATCTGTACCGATTGATCAACCTTTTGTGCTTGCACAAGACACACAAGCTACACTGGAAGAATCGATCGACACTGGTAAAACCAATATTTCTTCATCATATGATGATCAACTCAAATCTGAAAGGGCTATTGAACCAGACACAATTGATGAAGATATTAAAAAAACGGAGACAAATCTGACAGAAATAATTAAAGAATGTGTTAAACCTAAAAAAGAAGCGGCTAAGGTGATTGAAATTCCAATAAACGAGAATATTGAACTAGGTAATGCTTATGAAATACAAGCAACATTAGAGCAAACTGTAGAAACTACTGAGGAAAATATTTCTAGCCCCATTACACCTGAAGTGGATCAGGAAAGACGCATTACAGTCGAAGAAAATTTAAAACAAAACGATAAACTTATTTCGGAACTCACTGATGAACCTTATGTAGCTGAAAACCCCATTACTCAAAAATCACATGCGCCTGATGACTGTAAAGATCGAATTACAAATGTGGAGTACATGAACCAAAAATGTACAGATATGAATTATAATTTAAAATATAATAGTATTATACAAACAATGGAGGCTTTGTTAAATGAGTTACATGAAATTCTAATGTCTAGTGATGCTACTAATGTTGAAAAGACAGATTATTTACAAAATATGTTGGATGAGTTTCAAGTCCAAATAATAAAACTGAAAAGCATGAATATAAAAGATGCAAGCGACATTCTCAATGAAACAATAGACGATTTAGAATGCAGCGTGAGAAGTGTTCAACTTCTGATTAACGAAAGTAGTCCTACCGATCATGTTATAGAAGCAAGTGCTACAATAGAATTATTAGTTAATAGTATAAAGGAAGATTTAAGCAAAATGCATTTTCAGGATACTATGCTGGGAAAACCTGATATATTGGAAGAGTGCGTAGGTGATACCGAAACAACCTTATTATTGTTAGATGCAGTTTCAGAGACAATCACAAACCATGATAATATTTTAAAAATAATTAATGATCTTAACACTGTAAAAGATTCAATGAAAACTATAAAACTAAGCTTTTCTATAGATGAAGAAACTGTTATAGAAAAGGGGATTGAAATTCTGGAAAGCTTAGATATTATTGAACACCAGTTATTTACTATTGAAGACGTTATAGAGAAGATGCCAACAGTGGACTTACTTACTCGTGACACCATTATAACTGCAGTACATTCTGTTTACACTAATATTTCTAATATCAGAGGGACTATTTCAAACATTAAAAAGTCTTATATTTATCAAAATTACGGTAAACCGTCTGAAAACTTACTTAAAGCAATTAAAAACATAAATTACATTAAAAATATCGATAACAATCATAATTGGATATCAGTAACCAAACATTTTCGAAATATATTAAATCACTTTGAAGAAATCAAATTTTATATTAATCTTGATAAAACTGCCAGGCAACCAAGTGATGCATCACTCACAAAAGTAGTACTAAACGAATTGAAATTGCTTTTATCCAATGATGTGCTAAATAATACAAAAGAGTTTCAGTCACTTTTAGGAAATAGTGTTGATACGGTTATAGAATTTATTGTAGAATGTATACATAAAATAGATAGGGCCCCTGTTTTAGAAGTACGAGAAAAGATTCCAATTTTCAAAGAGTTGACAGGAAGGTTAATAGACTTGTCAAATGAAATACTGGATATATATAAACATGTAAATACTATAAACGTTGACACAAATGTAAAAGAACCTCAAACTAATGAGATTTCTTCTTCAGAATCACAATATGAATTAGATAAAACAATTATTTTAGAATCTCCTAACCTTGATTGTATGGAGGTAACCGTTGTACAGCCAATAAGCGCACTAAACAATCTTGTATCTCATATAATAACTGAATCTTCTTTCTCTAAAGACGATACTCCTCCTGATATAGAAATGCAAACTGTTAAATATAATAATATAGAAAAGCAATTAATTAAAGATGGTGTTCAACCAATAATTGAACAGTTGATAGAAGAAGCCATTAATAAAGTAACATTATTAAGCATACAAAATGGCAATATCCAAGAATTTGGAAATAAAGACGATCTTCAAATGTTACAAGAGCCACATGACCATACTTCCAAAATACTACTAGACGCAAAGACAATTGAACTAAAAAGTAAAACAACTACATTTGAATCAATGATAGCCATCGATAACAAACAAAATGTGGCTAAGGATTCTCAAATTGATCAGCAAATTAAAAATATATTAAGCTGTGAAGAAGAAAATATAATGTTGCACGTAAATATTGGATCTCAGACAGAAATTGACAGGTTAGACCAAGACCTTAGTGAACAAAAAGTAAAGAAATCAGATGATAACCTAGGAGACGATGAACAGACATCATCATTAAAAGATCTATCAAAAAAAGATTTTTGCATTAATAATAAGCTTGGAAATGATATTTCTGAAGAAGATATTAAAAGAGACTCTAGAAGTCAAAATATTAAATTAAAATGCCTAGATGAAAATAAACTAAATAAAAATAAACAGGAAATAACATCTTCGAATATGTTTAATGTATCTTTAGAAAGAAACGAAGATTTAAAGAAAGATGTAGATAATCAAACTAACAAACAACATGAAGCTTCAAAAGAAACCATTGATGAAAATTGTAAAAATATACAAGAAAAGTCATTAATTTTAAAAAGAAGTGAAAACAAAGAAATGAATACTTTAGATACTCAAATACAGGACAGTTTAATAGGAACTAGTACAACCAAAAAACAGGATAGTGAAATAAAAAGCATTACAGATGAAGATTCAAGTCTACCAGATGTACTTGATGAAAAACTCGAAGTCGTTGAAAAAATGAAGTCAGAAATGGAATCTAAGGATCATCAAAACGACACTGACATAACTAGATCTTCAGCTGAAATATCTAGACAGGAATTAGGAATATCTGATATTGGAATTGAAAAAGTTCTCAATTTGGATGTAACTACTGAAGAAAACAATAAAATCTTAGATAACCAATCTTTACAAGATAAGGATATATTACAACCTCAACTAAACAAAGATGATGATCAAAATGAAATTGAAGATAACTCCAATACTTTAAATAAAGTATCGAAGTCACTACTTAATCAAACTCACCTTAACTTTGATGAGAATTCAGTTATTGAAGAAGGAAGACGGAAATTTCCAACAAAAGAAACTCTTAATGAAGGTAATACAAAAGAACAACAAAAAGATATAAAAACGCGGCCATTTAAGTTAAATCTTCAACAGCAGCAACTTATGACAGTGGAAAATTTTAATCTAAATTACGATAAAGCTGAAATTACGAGTAATGTTGAATTACAAGCTACTGTAAGTGAGCAAAACATAACAGACTTACAAAAAATTTTCAAAAATGTAACATTGTCAAATAATTTGGTCGATAAAAATGATTTACTTGTTATTCAAGATCAGAATACATCGAATGAACATGTGCAATCAATAGATATAGAAGTTGACAACTCAACTTTTATTTCTGGAGATAAGCAAGAAAGTATTTTGGAAATTAATATTATATCACAAAATGATACAAACAACCTGCTAAGTCCTGAAGAAATTAAAATCTGTCCAAGTATTCAAGAATCCTACGTGAAAGAAATTATTTTTGAAACATCTGAATTGAAAGAAAAAATATCAAGTTTAGTACCAGAACAAAATCAACAGAACAAAGGCTCTAGAAAACATGATGAAGATACTGCACAGCACGCTACCTACAATGAACCAACAGATGCCAACACTACAGCAACTAAAAATACAAGCTTATCTGCTAAATCTGGTACGACTATAGATAAGAATAGCCAAGAAAGCTTGGCGGCATCATCCGATACAAAAGAATGGAACTTAGATAGAGAAATAGAAAATAATGTCAATGAAGAAGAATCTATTTGCCAATTTTCACAATCACGAGAAACAATTGAACCATCTTCACTAAGAGCAAATACTCAAAGTGATACACGAGACGAAATTTGTACGGTTAAAAAGAAAAAAAGAACGCAATCTAAATTAAAAACTAATGGATTGTCAAAAAAACTTACTACTAAAGAAGATGATATTGAAAAAGACAAAAGTAACGACATACAAGTGTATGAACGAACTAAAATAATTATTGATGATGATGCTCGCCTAAAAAAACAAGATGATTCAGATACCCTATATGGGGTGACGGTATCAAGAACTCTATCAACTTTGAACGCGGAAATACTAGACAACAAAAATGTAAAAACTGAAATGAATCAACCACAAAGTATTGATATAAATACTGAGAATCAAACGACTATGTCAAAAGATGTAAAAACGACACCATATACAGTAAAGGAAAAACCTCAATTTATTGATCCAAACTTTGTAGATGCAAGTATGGGATTCTTGCGGCCACCTACATACATTTCAAAACCGTTTGAGGCAGAAAATTTCTTAACACCAGAATTAAATACTTACACGTCTTCATCAAACGTATTTTACAAGGCACAAAGCCTTATCCGGGATCACCAAAGTAAATCAATGTATACAGGAGACCGTGAAAAACAATTGGAAACACAACTAAGCACTAAGGCTACTAATGAATCTAGAAGTATTTATTCTGAAAAGAGAGCGAGTTCTACACGCGATCTCAAAAGAAAACCAGTCTTTACTACTCATTTAACAAACAGGACTGCAGTAGAAGGTTCTAGAGTAAAACTCACTTGCAGTGTTTTATCTTCAACAGAACCTGTGCTTAAATGGTATAAAAACGGTGTATTGTTGGAAGACAAACATAAATACAAAATCAAATTTATTGACGGCTTAATAACAATGGAATTATTAAACGCATTACCAAGCGACTCTGGCGATTACAGTTGTACTGTAGACAATGAACACGGTTCTATAACAACTTCGGCAAAATTAAAAGTTTATCCCAGCTTTGAAGCTTCACCAATACCGCCAACCTTTACGAGGTCAATACGAGGTATGGTTATAATAAGGTATAATCTTAAGGTAATTTTTGTTTTCGACTACTAACATGCTTTTCTTAACATATCTATATGTTTTATTTCAGATGTTTATCACAGAGCTGAAAATGAACTTATCTTGGAATGCCGAATACGAGGACAGCCCATACCCATAATTTCTTGGTTTAAGGACAATAAGCCTATCGCTACTGACGACCGCTATGAAGCCTCTTATTTAGCTGATGGTCTCTGCAGGCTCACTATAAATTCTCCAAGCAAAGAGGATAGTGGAACCTATACTTGCAAAGCCGAAAGTGCGGTTTGGTCAGATCAAATTACACATGTGGTCAATTTTGCAGGTAATAATTTCTTTTCATTCTAAGCATTAACATTTTTCCTTTTCCATTAATTATATATATACCGATATACCTAGCATGTCACGATACATAGAAGAACAAAAATACGGCGAATATGGCTGTTTTAATTATTCTAAATTTTCAGATGCTACTCGACTTGATTCACATATCTCGAGCGTAGAAAGATTACGCCTTAGGCACGACACTCGGCGACCACATTTCACTAATGTTTTAAGTGACTACAAAGTAATAAAGGGTGGTACTATAGGGTTACAAGTGGAAATCGGTGGGGCACCGACAAAAGTAGAGTGGTTACGGGAAGGGTCTCCTGTGACAGAATTAGACAAGAATGCGCAGACATTCGTAGATCATGGTATATATACCCTGGCTTTGAATGATGTGTCGGAAAGGCATTCCGGATTATACACATGCAGAGCGTGGAGTATGCACGGAAATGTGGACATGAATGCTGAGATAAGTGTGGTTCAACCGAACGAGGTTGATGGTAGACCAGCAGTAATTGTAAGTCGACCCACGAAGGATGTTCTCATATCTGTAGGGGAAGACATAAACATATCGTTTAGAGTTCAAGGGGAACCAAGACCAAAAGGTAAAGATTTTTGTAATCCTAGAAAATTACGAAAGAAATTAGAATACTCCTTTGAAAGAGAAAACGAACAAATGCTTAAGAACTATATATTCTGATTTATATTATTTTTTAAAATGCATTTTTGAATGTTTTGTAAATAAAATTCGTAAAACGATCTAGCCTTCGTGCGTTATATAAGAATTTATGGTTTTGTTTCTGGCGTGAAATGTTTATTTTTCTTGCAGTTTTTTTCCTGAAAGGAATCCGAGATATAACTAACAGCCAGCGTGTTTGCAAGATGACATCGGATGATTACGTGAAATTCACAATGAAAAGATCTGTAATATCAGACGCAGGTACCTACTGTATCCTGGCAAGAAATGTCTACGGCTGTGATAGAGCTTTTGTAACTGTTGCGGTTCGTACCTATTGTCTATTATCTGACAAATTAATTATTAACGAATAGTAACCAAAAAGGAATAATGACCTAATAAAAATATATCAGCCTGTTTTTCTCCGTTTGGGGATCTAAAAATCTGAAACGAACGGGTTTTCACAATTAATAAAGTTAGCTTAAAGTGATATTTAACTATGACGGATTGAAATCCGACATCGGTAAAAAGGATGGCTTGGTATTCCATCATTTTATCTACTAACTCGTTAATAGTGCTTCGGTTTAAAACATATTGTAATAGCTGATAGCTCTGATAGCTAATCCATGATTCCAAAGGAAACCAGCATCATATAGGAACCACAAAAATGGTATATTTAAATTAATATAAAAACAAGATGCTGGTTAAAAAATTTGCTGTTTAACAAGCTAGGCGCTAGTTAGATTTTTAATATTAAAAAATGTTTATAGGTACGACAACGTGCGTCATCAGATAATCTCATATCTGACTGGACGTATTCCGCGGAAGACCCGATCATTGCCACAGAAAGAAAATATAAATGTATGTTTTATTTCTGATATTATTAACGGAATTGTAATTAGTTCTATTCATATCTACATATTTTATTTATTTTCATATGATTAAGAGAAAAAATAAAACCAGGTAGGTTAGGAGATTAAGACAAGGGCTGGCTTATGAGTTAAAAGCTATCTTTTCCAAAAGTTCCCCAGTATGGAATAAAAATAAGAAAATCTTATTAGGGATTTCCCTTAGTTTATATTAAATGAGTATTTACTCAAGTGCATAAGTTCACCAAAATAAATTACAAATCAAATCATCTTATCCAATCGTTGCATGAATCAAAATTAATGCTAGCTTTAATATAATAAGACATTTACGTGGAAGATTTTTAAATCCTAACTTGATACAAAACACATTGTTCTACAACAATTGATAAATCAATATCCCACGAACCAAACTGAGCTAGTCTGCAACTTTTTTAATAATTACTGGACACCGTAAATGTCACAAATGATATTAAAAGCTATTATAAAAATATTATTTTATTGTTAGCATATATTCGATCTTGGAGAAACGCCAAGTGTTAAGGTCATATGTAAATAATTTATTTTGTAGCCGTGCCCGGACGTATACCGGGCAAGCCAAGTGCAGTGGATGGTGGAAACAACTGGGTCGCCCTGAGCTGGCCAAAGTCAGACCCTCAAGAAGCAGCTCCAGTCCTTGCGTACCGAGTAGACTCCTGGCTACTTGGAAAAGAGGGTGGTGCACGCTGGATAGAAATGGGAATAACACCTCGAAATACCTTTGATGCATTTAACTTAAAGCAGGGAGAAGAGTACCACTTCAGGGTAACACCAAGAAATAGATATGGGTGGGGAGAACCAGTACAAACATCGACTCCTATCGCAGTTGGTATCGCCGGCGACAGGCCGGAGTTCATTGACATTCTACCCGGTCTATTAAAAGTCCTCGTTGGTGAAACAGCGAATTTAAGTTGCAGCTTCAAAGGCAAACCGACCCCAGTGATTGCATGGATGAAGAATGGTAGAGAAATAGATGAGTCAGGCAAAGTCAGAAGTAGACAGAACGGAAACGTGTGTTCTTTAACGATAAAAAATGTGGAAATAGAAGACGAGGGTCGGTACAGCTGTGAAGCGACGAACGTTCATGGACGGGCATCAACTTACGCAAGAATGACTGTGATCACTGATAGACAAATATGGGAGGCTGATGCGAAACTAAAGAGGTAATTAAATCATAGATAACACCAAATATAAATATAGCATAGTCCCCTTGCATTAGCTTTTTAATAAATGTTTTTATGCAACAAGGTATTTTAGCTTTAACCGTAAATCGATTAATTTAGAGATCCAGTTGTGCGTTACGAGATACGAGCTGTATTGAGGTAAAGCAATTTAGGATAAATAGAACGCAGTATGATGATTTTGCGAAGGTACGGAAGGTACGAATAGCACACATTGCTGATATAATACGAAAATAATAACAAAATATGTATATCAACAGAGGGGTTAGTTAATGTGATTGTCATCTCACTAAAAATAATCAATTAAAATATTTTTTATTGTTTGTCACCTATGCGTGCAATATATTTAGCTTTGTGCATAATTATGTATTATTTCTTATATAATACCTTTCCCTCGCAATATATTTATGAAAATATTATGTATGTATACAAAAATAGAGATAAGTTTACTAGAAAAGAACATACGCACAATATTAATACTCGGAACAAACGCAGGCTGCAATTTCCCCGTACTAGACTATCTAAAGTTAGTAATTCTTTTTTTGGGAAAAGGGAAACTCTTCGTTAATAAAATCCCAGAGGCTCTTTAATCTCTGCCTTTTAATAAATTTAAGAAATGTATTAAAGAAAAGCTGTGTAAAAAGGCTTACTATAAAGTTATCGAATATCTAGTTGATAAAAGGGCCTAGGACTTCGATTTAATTTGTGATATTTGTTTTAAAATAAAATTTGTTTGATGATTTGCTATTTTTAAAGAGTACCGAGAGTTTTTTACGCCAGCTTTTTCTCTCGGCCTACACCCTCTGTCTTCTTTGCCGATGAGTAGGAATGCCTACAGATTCAAATTTAATGTCGTGGATTAAGTGATACCTGTATCTTATGTTCCATAATAAACATTTTTTATTTCATTTTTATGATACTTCATTATATATGTATTTTATATCTCGATGCTATTTATAAGATAAGACTATTAATTATAAATAAACTTTCAGAGAAAGGTCTGCAGATGCAACAGGTGAATATCCGCCTCAATTCACAATGCGGCTAAGAGATCGCCGTGTTCAAGCCACGTATCCTGTAAGACTGACATTCCAAGTTATAGGGAGTCCAACGCCGAACGTGACTTGGTTTAAGGATGGTCAAGAAATCACTTTTGACAGTAAGTAATGCTTTTCAGATCGATTCGGCCACAGCATTTATTGACATTGACATTTTATAGCTCTCATCTTTGTGACGAACATGGCTAATAATTCCTAGCTTATTCTGCCATTATTACTAGGAAATGCGGCACAGATCGCTGATCACTTGCCTTAAAAAATATTAATAAACGCAGGAGTGTCTGTCCCAAGACTTCCATTACACATATGTTGAATGAAAATAAAACATGTTTTTATCTAGTGTACCTATAGAAATCTACAATAAAATTATTTCAAATATTCGTTAGCCCAAAATAAGGCATGGGACACAAAATCGCCGGTACGATTATGACTGATTAAGTACACTTTGAACAATTGGGGTTAAAAAAAAATATTGTTTTTTTTATGTATTTTAAAACTTTATTGTTAATAATATTGATGATTAAAGCTAAAAACTTTAAACAAAGCTACAGCTTATGTTCAACTAAGTCGTAAAAATAATATTTGTACCATTTATTTCGACGTTTGTCATCTTGAGAAATATTGAAAAACATTTTGCCAGAAGTTGGTTTTGTAGTATTCGTACATAATGGTACAAAACATGAACGATAACTTTTGAGGTTCAACATTTTTAATATTAATTTAAATATTTAACAATGACAACAAAATTAAATAGATCAAAACTGCAATGCGTGAAAACTAACATTATGACGTCACACGCGCTCGGGTTTGTTCGGCGTGTTTTCGGTACTGGATTCAAAAATAAATTTTTATTTTGAAATAACTTTCGAATTATTGCGAAAAAAAGATTAATTTTGTTATAAAACTTATATATGATCTTTCCATTTATCACAATTTTTTTTTTTAAAACCCAATTGTATAATATATTTTACCTATTGTTCCTTTGGGCACGTCTGATTTTATATTGCAAATATTCTGAGATTCATATTACTATTAGTACTTGATTCAAATCTCTAGAACAAAGCCGGCAAATTGTAAGTGCCTTATTCTGAGGGTGAGATCTATAGTGCGCACTTGGACTTTGCTCAGACTTACCTTACGAAAAACTTTGCTTAGTGTACACTAAGGTTAAACTATGATTTCGTATTTATAGACATTTTAACGGTGAGATTAAGCTAAGCCCAAGCTAAGACAGAAAATGTCAAAATACAAATTGATGTTTCATTTCATGCAATACTTTGTTTATTATCCTTTAAAAAAAGTAAACAATAACAAATATTTAAACATCTAAAACGGTACACATATATCTTCAATTTATTGTTATTTATGTATTCATTTATTTTATTATTGCAATAACTAGAAATTTACGAGTAACCTTTAGAAAATGTATTAATTATTTAAAGATGACAATAATTTTATTACGTAGAACGGATCGCAATGTTTTGACAACAGCAACAGAGCACTTGTATCAACAATTGAAAATTTTAAACCACTTTTTCTCTTTTCTGTTTCTGTTTGTATGAGCTTATAAATATTAAATTTAACTTTCTTCAAAAAAACGACTGGCTTTGTGACTTGGACCTGGACCAATCTGGATCGTATACCTACTTAACTCCTACGCATTCCCGAAGCACTGTGACGTTTTGTGATTTGGCTTTGTTACATGGACCGCTTGGAAATATCAATATCGAAAGTGACATGATGGAGAGAGAGAGTTCTATCTTCAATAGAGAACATTGAAAGGGTAGGAACTGCAGCCGATATGAATCCACGAATGCCTAAAGTATATGTTCGGAACTAATAAAACCAAAATCCTTCCATCCTGTACGGTGAGAATGAATTCAAAAGAAGGAACCGTATTTTGAAACACACGGTATTAAATGTGATCCTGACGCTGATCATTACAAACTTGCAACCTTATAACAACAGAGGATCGCCAAACCTACCGCAATTGCAAATACTTATTGCATTAAGGCATAAAAATGCAACTGGATATTTTCAGGTAATATTGTGTTCATAAATATGTATGGTTTTTCAATTTGATATATTATACCTCTTCTCAAATGATTTTAAATACATATGTTGAAGACTTTTGTCTTCTGACTTTCAGAAACATAACATATATGTGACTAATAATAATTTATTGACATTACAGATGGTGTGTGGTGATCTGAACAGCATAAGCCAATCTACAGTCTGTTTAATTATAAATAAAGTTTCTGCAGAGTTGAGTAAATTACTTCCTAGATTTGTAAATTTTCTAAAAAATATGAACACAGCCATAACGAAGTTTGAAGAATTAGGAAGATCTAATACTCACCATGGCCTAAACAGTATAATCGGAGCTATTGACTGCACCCATATAAAAATTAATAGACCCAAAGTATCACTCACTCTGAAGCATACAGAAATAAAAAAAGGGTATTTTTCTGTAAATGTGCAAGCAATAATAGGGCCTGATATGGAAATATTTGCTATAGTGACTAGGTGGCCTGGCAGTTCACACGACAGCAGGATATTTAGAAAATGCCTGTTTTAGTAGGTGACAGCGGTTATCCAGCACTTAACTTCATGTTAACAACACTTTTAAATCCAATGACAAGAGCTGCCAATATTTATAATTATTCTCAAATAAGAACTAGGCATATTTTTTAAAGGTTTTTCGGAGTGTGATAAAGGAAATTTCCATGTTTACAGCTAGGACTACAGTCAAAATTGACAAATACTAGTTAAATATAATTATAGCTTGTGTTGTATTGCATAATATAGGTATACAGAGAGGGGATGCCTATGATGATGGTGATCTTGCTGACAGCAGAAGTTGAGTAACACAGAAACAATGAAAGATCTCCTACAGGTCTAGCATTCCGGAATTCTGTGATTGCACAATTTAACTAGGTAATTTGTTTGGTAATAAAGAATATCAAAACAAAACTTGTTTCATTTTAATCATTTATTTTCTGATTCTTTTTTTTAAGTGTAATACATATTTCTAATACTAATTTATATTTTTGTTGAAGAAATTCTATTTCCAACAGATTTTTTAATTTCATATGTTCCACTCCTATCTCAAATTTTTTAGAGTAGTCAGGTAATAAATGGTAGAAGATTCAGGGAAACGAAAATAACAGATGTGAAGCGAGAGACATCGGTTAGGTTATAGTTTGATTTCGTTGTCACTATAATATGCCAGGGCTGCCAGGTGACATACAAAATCACACCAGTTATTTTTAAGATTTCTCAAAAATGGGGTTTGAACAATTACATAAATAATATAAATAAACAATAATAAATACCATAATAATGTGTAATTATTTTAATTCATGCATTTCATAGGTATTTATCAAGATCATTTATAATTTCTTTGAATTCAAATTCTATTTTTCCCAAAGTCTATGGAACTCCGATACAAAATGGCAACACCGTTCATTAAAAACCGACAAAAATAAAAAGTCCAGTAAAAGATATGATGGTAAAGCAAATTTTGGGCCATCATTTTTGTTAGGCTTATAGTCAAAGTTTTTGGTAAGTCGTCGATTTCGTGGACTTGAGATTAAGCTAAGCCAACACTAGGGAGAGATTCGCAGTTTGCTCTATAAATACCGACTGTGTCTAAGGGTGAGATCTATAGTGCGCACTTGGACTTTGCTCAGACTTACCTTACGAAAAACTTTGCTTAGTGTACACTAAGGTTAAACTATGATTTCGTATTTATAGACATTTTAACGGTGAGATTAAGCTAAGCCCAAGCTAAGACAGAAAATGTCAAAATACAAATTGATGTTTCATTTCATGCAATACTTTGTTTATTATCCTTTAAAAAAGTTAACAATAACAAATATTTAAAAATCTAAAACGGTACACATATAACTTCAATTTATTGTTATTTATGTATTCATTTATTTTATTATTGCAATAACTAGAAATTCACGAGTAACCTTTAGAAAATGTATTAATTATTTAAAGATGACAATAATTTTATTACGTAGAACGGATCGCAATGTTTTGGTTAGGTTATAGTTTGAATTTCGTTGTCACTATAATATGCCAATTGCCAGGGCTGCCAGGTGACATACAAAATCACACCAGTTATTTTTAAGATTTCTCAAAAATGGGGTTTGAACAATTACATAAATAATATAAATAAACAACAATAAATACCATAATAATGTGTAATTATTTTATTTCATGCATTTCATAGGTATTTATCAAGATCATTTATAATTTCTTTGAATTCAAATTCTATTTTTCCCAAAGTCTATGGAACTCCGATACAAAATGGCAACACCGTTCATTTAAAACCGACAAAAATAAAAAGTCCAGTAAAAGATATGATGGTAAAGCAAATTTTGGGCCATTATTTTTGTTAGGCTTATAGTCAAAGTTTTTGGTAAGTCGTCGATTTCGTGGACTTGAGATTAAGCTAAGCCAACACTAGGGAGAGATTCGTAGTTTGCTCTATAAATACCGACTGTGTCTTAGCTCGATAGTTAAGTCAGAGCAAAGTCTAAGTGCGCACTATAGATCTCACCCTTAGCTCGATAGTTAAGTCAGAGCAAAGTCTAAGTGCGCACTATAGATCTCACCCTGAGAAAGGCACTCACGTGCCATTATCTTTTTAAACATAACCTTGTTTGTTCGTTTCAGCTTGTTCACGTCCTCTGCTAGGCCTCTCCCCTAAACTGGTCGTTGGCTTCCATTCCAGGACTTTTTTGCCCCATAAGCGATCCGTTATGCCCATTACCATTTAAGCTTTGGCTATGTAACTTTATTTTTTCTACAAATCTCTTTATTTCTAATTCAATCGCATAGAGAAACACAGAGCATAGATCTCTGCATAGCTTGAAGTAGGAGACCAAGAGCTCAGAGCCGTAAGTCATCACTGGTACAGCGCAGTGTTCGAAGGCTTTTGACTTTAAGCATTGAGGGAACGAAATCACTGAACACGTAGTTTTCTATTTACGAGATAACATAGTTTTCTAAGTCCATGGCGGAGTGATCTCCTTGTAAAAGTTGGATTTACCTAATTGAAGTGTCCTTTCCTTCTCCTGGGCTGATTTTTATTGTGTAAAAATTATCTTAATTTTCTGTAACCAATATTTTGCATAACAAACAGACAAGTTAAAGATCCTGGCGCGTTACTCTCGTAGAAAAACACGTTTGATGGTTATTATTGATTCGTTATTTAGGGCAATAATTTGAATCCAGCCGCAGGATTTATGGGGGTGAGGGTAGGTCTACTGCTACCCCCCTGTACCATCCCCAACATGCGGAACCCCATGGTTATGGAGATATTTATAACACAAGATCCAGCGTGCGAGTTTTCAAAGCACAAATATTAGGTCCTTACATATGAAATTGGCGTATTTCGTACTGGCCACTTTAATCACGATGTTCTCCTCTTTGGTAACGAGTTACAAATTAAAATTTGTACAGCTATTTACTTATGTATTTGTGCTTCGATGACCGTCATTCATTTGTTTTTTCTTCTGTTTTTTTCTGTTTGCGTCACTCATTTTACAAAATGAAAACTTAAAGTATCGCATTATTTACGAGTACGAGTTCCGCCGTGGCACTAGTGCTGCGGAAACGACTCGAAGGGTGAATGATGTGTATGGCGGTCATGTTGCAAAAGAAAACACAGTTCGTTTTTGCTTCCAACGTTTTCGTTCTAGAAATTTCGACCTGCAGAACAAGCCCCGTGGACGGCCTGAGACCCAAGTTGATAATGAAGTATTGAAGGCTATTGTGGAAGCGGATCCATCGCAAACCACGTCCGAGTTAGCTGCAGGCTGTGGTGTTAGTGATAAAACTGTTTTAATTCACTTGAAGCAAATTGGGAAGATTAAAAAGCTTGAAAGATGGGTACCTCACGAATTGACTGAAGCAAACCGGCAAACGCGCGTCGACTGCTGCGTTACATTACTGAACCGGCGCAATAATGAAGGTATATTAAACCGAATCATTACCTGTGATAAAAAATGGATTCTTTACGATAATCGGAAGCGCTCAGCGCAATGGTTGGATGCCAGGAGGCCAGCCAGCCAAATCCTGCCCCAAGCGAAAATTAACCCCAAAAAAGTTACTTGTAAGCGTTTGGTGGACTAGTGCCGGTATTGTTCATTGCAGTTTTCTCAAATCTGGCCAGAATATTACGGCTGATGTCTATTGTCAGCAATTGCGAACCATGATGGAAAAGCTAGCGGCTAAACAACCTAGGCTGGTCAATCGCTCCACGCCGCTGCTACTTCACGACAACGCTAGACCACACACTGCACAACAGACGGCTACTAAATTAGAAGAGCTTCAATTGGAATGTCTAAGACATCCTCCGTACTCCCCGGACCTTGCTCCAACAGATTACCATTTTTTTCGAAATTTGGACAACTTCTTGCAAGGGGAAAAATTTAACTCTGATGGGGCAGTCCAAATCGCCTTCACAGATTTTATTGATTCCCGTACGACTGGTTTTTTTAGTAAAGGGATCAATGAACTACCTATGAGATGACAAAAGTGCAAAAAGTGAAAACAATGGTTCATACTTTGATTAATTAAATATATTATATTTAAAAATATTCGACTTTTTGTTCCTCCGTTATAAAGTTATACCAATACCAATATAATTAAACCTCCGGTATAAAGTTATACCAATTTATCAATATCAGAATTATTCAAGTGGATTGTTTTTATGAAATTAAAATATTAAATTATATGGTTAAGTGAAACCCAGATAGTGAAAATTTGATAGCTTTACAATATGTATAGTAAAATTTTGGCAAATGAATGCGATGTGATAAACTTTATTATAATACTTACTAACTGACTCGACAGACTTTTTATCGCCTAATTTTGTGAATGTAATACAATGAATACAAAACAAAGTAAGTTCTTAAATTCGTTGTGTTAAATTCACTACTTCTGAAAGAAATTAGCACAATATATTTGACAACTAATTTCTATGTCAAGCCTAAAATACATTACCGACATTATTCTTTATTTTAAAGGTGGCGACTGACTTTGAATATTCGCTCGATGTGAGCACGTTACAAGTCGAATATTCGGCATATCAGTACATCGAGCCGAGCAGCTCGATACGAGCGCCGAGCGCCCAAACGCGCTCCACTCGACTGTCGGTTTTTTGGCGAATCCCTTGAATGTACATTACATGGATGGGATCAGGAATGGAGCACAGGTGAATCGCGAATATTCAGGTTTTGTGAGCATTGTTGTGAGCATGCTTACAACGAACAAATATTCATGCGAATATTCAAATCGAGCAAAAATTCGATGTCAGTTGCCACTTTAAAACACGCCGCTATCCGTATATTGTGGATGTTATATCTCGACCTTTATTTAATTACGTGCTTTAAATTGTGGGGAGAGTTTATCGTATAGACGGGATGAACATTAAATCTTTGACAAACAAACCCATGAACATTTCCTATTGGAGTTTTTTCTAAATTTTCTCAAACGACGAAATTCGATTTTGTTTTAAATATTAAGATTTTGTATATCTTCAATCAGGTCGAAAAACATCATACAAAGACGAACACTTTCACACACTGGAGATAGCTCCGACCACGCTTGATGATGGTGGATTATACGAAGCTTTGGCAAGAAACAATAGTGGTGCAGTCAGCTGTAGATGTAGCCTCGTAGTAGATAAAGGCATCAGGGCCTACGTTGCACCAGAATTCTGCTGTGGCCTTGAACCCTTGTATCGAATAAATGAAGGTAAGACTTGACCGTCGTTTTATTCCCTGGACTTCACCGCGATTTCTTTTGATTCTAAACAAAATATTTTTTGTAACTTTTTATAAAAAAAAATCTATAAATATCAATAGATATATAGATAGAGCATATATCATCTTTGGTCACGGTTTTATAAATTTTTATATTTGTATATTAAAATTTTGATTGTTTTTTTGCATAGACTACAAAACTACTAGACCGATTTGAAGACCACCATTAGAATCCTTCATTATCCCTGATAGGCTTTATATTTTCAAAAAGTTAACAATTCGCATAAAAACTTTGATAAGACAACCCAAGGTATAAAAAATACCAACAAAAATCCCTATCGTAGCGGAAAACAGTTTCATCACTTTTCCCGAATATCAATAGTGACAGAGCAAAGTTAGTAGTAAGTTACCGTCAGCTCTTAGTGAATGACTCCAAAGTTCGACTATTAAAGTATGAGTTATAATTGTAAGCACATACTTGAAGTTGTAACTTCCAGCTTTATTAATGGTATGATATGGTTATAGGTGACGAGTTACGCATATCCGCAATAGTTGAAGCATATCCTTCAGTAGGAGTAACTTGGTACAGAGATGGAGTTCGTCTAAGACCAAGTAGAAGAGCCATTATGACTCTTGACAGGGACGGTCAAATCGAATTGGCTCTGGCCTCTGTGACGCCGAGGGACGCTGGTGTCTACACGTGCACGGCTTCAAATGAGGTTGGACAGGCTTCCACCTCAGGGAAGGTAGAAATTGTAACGGATCAAAGAGAAGAAAGGAGAAATGTACCGACCGTCATTTGTCCGGATATTCCGTAAGTAATAAGTATATTATAGAATTTGACCTAAATATGTATGAAACGTCATATTATTAAAGTTCTAATGTTGCTTAATAGACAATAGGGGTTTAAAAAAGAAATATTTTGTCTAAAAAATAAAAAAAATGGACTGGGGCCAATAAATCGGTGTTACAAACACTTGAGGCAGGAGAATATAATAAAATATATATGTCGGAGAAATATTGCCTTCTTCAATAGCATCGTCATTAGTGGGTTTAGTGGGCGTCATATGGGTAGAGTGCGAACACAAAAGACACGAATATAGATGGTACAATATTTAATTTTAAGTTCTTTCCTTTTAACATTTCAAACGGTACTTCAGCCTAAATTATATTATATAATTATGAGCAGCGGGTTCAATGCATCTTACTTTCAAGCACAAATCTCTTAGACCAAACTCGGTCCAATGTCTATTCACCACCATGATTTACCGAATACTCTAAAAGAACTCGGTCGCGTTACCCCGAACACACTGTCCAAATGTCAAGATGGCGCCGAGACTCGATGCACGTTCCCTGCTCTGATCGGTACGACCAATACCAACAAAGTAATTTAATACGTTACTATTATTTTAAACTAGGAGACAATTTAAACTTAAATAATAACAAATCAAATCAAATTAATAAAATCTCAATGATTAGCATCATCATAAAAATAAGATATCGAATCAAATTTAGTTTAATATTTTATATAAGTCACATTCATTTTAATTATACTTCAATAGAAGTTTATGCATGTAATTTTATTTTAATATAAGATAAAACTTGAGTTTTCTATATAAAATCGCAGCCATTTACCGGCAAATTTTAAATATGACCGTACATTAAGATTATAATATCTTAATAATAATTTATCTCAAAAGTGAACAGCACAAAATATTGTATACTCTAGTAAAATTGAAAATATTTACTACTTACTTAGGAATAATTAATAAAGAATATGTAAATATTGTAAGAGAAAGTGTCAGGTATTTTGTATCGTTCGAATAATTATAATATTTGTGTTTACTCAAGTTATATGGAAAGTGCGTTCGAACGGACCAAAACTGACGTTAACATGTGTCAAAATGTTGTTTACATTTTAATCTATGATTTAACTTTAGGTATTCAAAGGAGCCAATGTTTATTATGAAACCAAGGTCCACTGAGGCCCAAGAAGGCGATACAGTTATTATTGAATGTGAAGTGATTGGAGATCCCACACCTGAAGTATATTGGCTCAGGGACTTCTTGAAGGTAAGTTTAGGTAGTTTGGGTCGAGTGAAAAAAGTTTTTACGTTTTTATAGGACACTAACGGACAGGTCTCAGAATACGTAACGCTGATACACACTGAACAGACCGACTGCGAAAATTCATAAAAAAAAGTAGCGTGTAATATAGCAATTTAGATTTTTCTTACACAATTTTTTGTTTTCTCTTAATGCAAATGCAAAAGTTTGTTTTGTTTAATGTCTGTATCCAAACAAGGTTAGTTCAACAGTTGTTTTGTATTTGTTGTTGTTAAGAGTTTTCAACGTGACTTACGTGACACTGGCAACAAGGTACAATAGTTTTTCTTATAGTTTCTCCAACCTAAAGGCTACTCCCTCTCTTTTAACCGACAAAAGCCCGAAGAAAGAGGCTGCCAAGTCGACATGTAAATTAATTATTAATCAAATTATTATATTATACAGCGAATTGGTCCTCAAGCTTTGTTAATCAAGTGGATCTTTCAGTATATGAACTGAAATATCTCATGAAAAAACTAGAACTACCGGCGCTGTGTGAATAGTAGAATATATGTGCATGGATTTGTTGACTTATTTCGATAAATTACATTGTTTTAGATTTAGGATTACGAGAGGCATACAGGTGTATTCGTCTAAATAAGCCTAGGGCATTCTTATAAAAAATTAAGAAATGTTGTTATTCAATACATAGTATACGTTTATATAATTTTGATTTATCATTTAATTGATTTTATCAATTTACATTTTGTTCGCAGCGACGTTTAATTTATTTTATATAATCAATTATTAAAAATATAAACTTGCAGCCCGACTATTACCGAGACGCGAAACACTTCAAGCAAATGGCAGCAGGTCCTCTGTACCGCTTCGAAATTCCACACGCCAAATTGGACTTCACCGGTGCTTACTCAGTTGTAGCGCGAAATGTCCATGGAGAGGCAAAGGCAATCATATCCTTACAGATATTTGCTAAAGGTACGATCACAATATCGCATACTTGGTGTTTCTAATATATAATTTTCGCTTCATAATTTTCCTGAGTATCAGTCAGAGCAATTAGTAATTACACATAGACAAATTCATAAAGCCGGGGTTCGCTGAAGCTCGAAATCTTTAAGTTTTTACCTATTTGTATAATTTGTATGAAAAGTTTTTTAACCATCTATTTTTTTTCTAGATCTGAGTTCGAGTGATGAAACACACAACATTAGATATGGGTAAGTCATTTATTTATTTCACACATTATTCATTTACGAAGTCTCAATAACTCTATTTCGGCAATACCACATTATAATTTACAATTATGAACGTTACGTCCTGTACTCAACTCAGCATGGGGATGACAAATTTCAGATTTTTGTTCGTTTTTCTTTATAAACAAGATTCACCTTCTTTAGATGCCGTGGCTGATAACTAAAATTGTTTTGCCAGAAATCGAAGCTGTGTAAAAAAGTATTGATTAATAATTATTTAATCAATACTTTTTTACTTAATAGTAACGCGGGGAGAATATTTCTTTTTCTATGTAATAAATATAATTCTTTGATTTGCATTGGATTATAAGGAAAAGAAGGTATATGATATACTACCAATACGATTTAGGGTCGTTCGCGAAATTTGTTCTTAAATTGCCGGGTACGCAATCACTTGTGAGCGTCAATGGGTCGCGGTGTCCACCAAAACACCAATCCAATACACGTTTTATTTATTTATCCTTATAAATTATAACCACCATAATTCCAATAGTTCTTTTTTAACTGTTTTAAACATGTATCACGTACCTCGGAACAGTTGTTATCTAGTTACCCACACCACCGGCACTCCTTAGTGTGGGTACTAGCGATATACCTATGAATTTTTGTCACAACCCTTTGTCATAAATAAAGTTTTTATTATTTATTATCATTTTATTATTAGACAAAAATATCGTATAATAAAATAATAACATTTAAGTTTTTGTTACAAAATATCTACTTTACAAACTTGGAGCTTGAACTGTACTTGTTACGATATTGCATTGCTATTTGTTTGAGGAGTTTCGCGCTAAGTTTTCGCTCTGAATCCGAAGATTAGCTGGGAAAAATTACTGAACATTCACTAAAAAATGTTGTTTACTTGTTTCTAATTAGCAATCAGGTACATTATAATAATAGTAATAAAGGCATCTTATTGCATACTTTTATAATAAAAATTTTATGGTTTTGTTATTACACACCAGGTAAGTTATTCATTCGTATCTTACACTATGGTCTATGACCTTCGGTTCTTCTATCGGTCCCATCTCACCCAAGCAAAGCGTCTATTGGTGGTCATCTGAACTAGCCCGACTACGAGGGGAGTGTGTTAAGGCGCGTCGCCGTTACACGCGTTTTAGAAGAAGGCATCTCAGTTACCGTGATCCGGACGAAGAGGCAAGTTTATATACTTCTTATCAAGAAGCAAAAAGGGCTCTTCGGTTGGAAATAGCTGAAGCAAAGGATAGGGCATGGAAGGAGCTCCTGAACTCTTTGGATCGTGATCCTTGGGGGCGACCGTACAATATTGTCATGAGTAAACTCCGTCCCTGGAGGCCGCCGCTAACATCCACAATGGAGCCGACGTTTCTAGGGATGGTTGTTACATCGCTGTTTCCTTGTGATTCTACTCCTTTTATTAATGTTGACTTCGATCATTCAGAGGATATTCCTGAGGTGTCAGAGGGTGAGTTAGGGGCTGGTGTTTTTAAAATTCAAAACAAAAAAACCGCTCCTGGTCCAGATGGATTGCATGGAACGGTTTGGGCGCAATCTCTTAAAAATGGCTTATTTAACAGATTTCGAGATCTCCTTTCTGATCTTTTGAGGAAAGGCATATTCCCTAATAGCTGGAAAGTCGGACAATTGCTTCTTCTTAGGAAGTTCGGGAAACCGGTAGATTCACCTACGGCCTATCGACCTATTGTTTTACTTCCTGAGGTGGGCAAACTGTTTGAGCGAATAATTGTCTCGCGCCTCGAGAAGCATCTTCAGATTATTGGTCCAAATCTGTCTGATACTCAATTCGGTTTTCGGCGTGGTCGCTCTACAATTGACGCTTTAGGTAAGTTAAGGGACTTGTGCGAAGAAACTGTCTCTGGGGGTGGGGTTGTGTTGGCGGTTTCGCTAGATATTGCGAATGCGTTCAATACTATTCCCTGGAGAGCGATTATGGATGGTCTCCTTTATCATGGTGTGCCTGTGTACTTACGTCATGTAGTAGGAACTTATCTCTCTGATCGATCGATCATTTATCCAAGTCGGGAAGGTTGGAGAAGCTATCAGGTTCGATGTGGAGTTCCACAGGGGTCTGTTCTTGGGCCCCTTTTGTGGAACATTGGATTTGATGCTGTCCTTCGAGGTAGACTGATGCCAGGAGTAAGTTTAATATGTTATGCTGATGATACACTTGTGACGGCCAAGGGATGTAATTATCAGGAGGCGAGTTTGTTAGTTACTGCTGGAGTGGAAGAAGTAGTGACTCGTATAAGACAACTTGGTCTTCGAGTCGCTCTACAAAAATCAGATGTCATATGTTTCGCTAGGAGGTCACCACCTAGAGGCGCTGAGATAATAGTGGATGGTGTTCATATGGCATTAAAGTCGACGTTGAAATACCTCGGGTTGGTTATTGACGCCCGATGGACTTTCAAGGCTCATTTTGCTGCCCTGGAACCCAAGCTTGATTCAACTGCAATGGCATTGGGTCGTATAATGCCAAATATCGGTGGGCCAGGCGGGGGCTGTAGGCTCCTTTATGCTGGTGTGGTGCGTGCAAAGGCGCTTTATGGGTGTCCGATATGGGCGGATAAGTTGTCTTTTTACAACAAGGCTTTACTGAGACGGTCACAGCGTAAAGTTGCCATAAGAATTGCTAGGGCATACCGTACCGTATCCTGTGACGCGGCATGTGTCATAGCCGCCACTCCGCCTTGGCATTTGGAAGCTTTGGCTTTGGGTAAAATTTTTTGGAGAAGAGCTGAAGCCAGGAGTGGTGGTTTTGACCCACCTCTGGAGGTAGTCAAGGTCTGGAAGGAGGAGTATCGCCGCCTAATTTTGCTAGAATGGAGGGATGAGTTAAGTGAATGTCGGTTTGGTTTACAAACTGTTGATCTTATTCGTCCCTTCTTGAAACACTTTGTGGACCGACGGTGGGGATCGCTTTCCTATCGGCTCGTTCAGGTTCTCTCTGGGCATGGATGCTTTGGGAGTTACCTGCATCGAATCGTTGGAAGAGAGGCGACACCTGCTTGTCATCATTGTGACTGTAGAGAGGATACGGTGAGGCACACTGTTGAGGAGTGTCCGGCTTGGGACGGCTTTCGCTCGGTCCTTGCTGATAGCATTGTTGGCAATCTGTCGCTTCCACTAATTATCCAAAGAATGGTGGAAGCTGACAATGACGGCCCTTGGAATGCCTTCAAGGCTTTTTGTGAGGCCGTCATGACTGAGAAAGAGAATGCGGAGCGTCAGCGTGAAAATAATTCTGATGCTCCGCCGGTAAGAAAACGACGACCGGGGCAGCGACGCCGTGCTTTCGCACGTCTGCCCTAAGTTAAGATGCTGATGATTTGTTCGTGGGAGGAGTCACGTTGATATTGTGACATTCGCGTTTGGCGGGGGTAAGGATAGGGCTCAGCTGTTACCTGCCTCCGCCCTTTGGCGAGCCGAAGGCATCCGTCAGGTTTTAGTGGGTAGGTGTGAAGATATTATGTCTGAGTCCCACAAAATCCCTGCTGGAATAAAATTCAACAGGGATATGCGTAAAAGCATTTCCTGACTTAAAAAAAAAAAAAAAAAAAAAAAAAAAAATGACCTTTTGGAAGGGCCTCCTTTTTATTTGTAGCAATTTTTTGCTTCAACCATTTTTCCGATACGATCGATTTATACGTTCGCAGAGTGAATTTGCAGTAACAATATTCTGTATCTTATGTATTTAATGTTATATATTTTATTTTTAATTTCGACATTATCATATTGGTTTGGTACCGTAAAAATACTAGTGTATGAATAAAATAGATAATAATAATAGTTATAAATAAAAAAAATAAAAAAAAAACTTCTCAGAAATGTTTATGTCGTCAGCCCATCGCTTTTGTGGTCTACCCACGTTTCTCTTTCCTTTTCTTCTAACGGGTGGCTTCGACGGTCCATCTTCGGTCTGTACACCTTACTGGCCTGCCTATTTTCATTGGTAAGGTGTCTTTTACCATGTCTGTGACCCTAGCTTTTGCCTAGATGCAGCTCCATTGCTCTTCTGGACATCACATTCGACTTCACTCTTTCCGTTAACGTCCAGGTTTTGCTCCAAGAAAGCGTGGAAGTGAACTGGTATCCATAACAGTATTTTTTTAATCTAGGCTGTAATTTATTTTTAAAACTTCTTTAATTGTCAATAACATTAATTAAGGTGAATTAAAAAAGGCTAATATTTTTTTTTCAGACGCGTAGAAGTTATCCCGCGTTTTGAGAAGGAACTGACTGATCTTCTCTGTTATGACAGCGATGCAATCGAGTTTGAGTGCCTTATTAGCGGACACCCGGAGCCGGATATCCGGTGGTTTCATTACAACCAGGTAAGGTTTTAATGTAATAACACATTTTATTATTATTAGTAGCAAAAGTCTGATAAAACTTAAGAGATCTAATTCTTAATTTGCATAAAGCCACTCGCAATTACAAATAATACTATTTGAAATTACATGAAAAAAAATCAGTAACTAACAATTAGTTGCCGACCATATTATAAACTGAATATCTCATCATCTGGAGTTCTGCGAAATACAATTTTCTTCGAATCGTCCATTTTGTATCGAAACGATCTGTTGTTAAAATTTAATTTCTATAGATTATTAAAAAATATCATTTACTGACCTTATGTTGAACGATTGGCCCAATGACCTAGACTTCTGGACATCCCTGAGGCCGTAGATTCCAACCCCGACTGTACAACAATGGACTTTCTATGTGCGCATTTAACATTCGCTCGTATCTAGACGAAAAAAAAACGTGTGGCACTCGGGGACTGCCGCGGTAAAGCTATTACATACATAGCTTTTTTTATCAATTTATACAGTTATAATTATTTGTTAATTTTTTATTTATGCAGTATTTATTTTTCTTTGATATTAATTCAAGTTTTTTCATTGATATTATTTCAATCTACCACTCTACCAGACTCAGACTAAAACGCTTATATAGTCTGTTTCACTCTAACCCGTACCGGCTGCACCGACCGCGCTCACGCTACATCACCGATCTCGTCAGAGAGATGGGAATGCGCAGTATGCGTTCTGTCCCACTCTAACGCGTATTTGCCGCACCTATATTACGTCATCGTGTATAAGGTTTTTTTCGTTACGGAATTTCTTGATTCGGTCGCCGCGCTCAAAGCCCGCGATAAAATCTATGCAATAGCTTTAAAAAATCTGAGGAAGCCGACATTCTCTATCCAATACGTAGACGGCGTCTGACAAGCATAGAAGGCCGATCACTTACTTACTTATTATAAAATTAATTTCCCTACCAAATGACCGCAAAATTGAACGTCATTCGATATGTTAACGCCCAGTATTTCTTTAATTGCCGAGGCTTAATAAGGAGATTGTCTTCGAAGTGAGGAGTCACAACAAAGGGTGTTTATTTAGCGGAAACGCGCAACTAGTGTTTTCTTAGGGTTAAATTGTACTTGATTTAGTTGATCCCAGTCCGAGACTCCTCGTAGCAGGGTTTCGACGTCAGACACAAGTTTGTTCCGGTACTCATCGACTACTGCCCGAAAAATACCTGCTCGACTAGAGTAAAGAGTATTCTCAGTGCCGTCGTCCGCATAGCAATGTTTGTTGCTATGTTACTTCGTCGATGACGACCGTGATGCAGATTGGCATACCTTCTAGCGAAGTGTAGGGGCTCCCCTTTGGACTTAATCGGATGGGCTCCGGGAATCTCACTCACCGCACAAAATGCGAGTACAATAAGGTGGAACCCAATCACTACACGCTGGTTTTCTGTGAGAAAATGGTACTGCCCCAGTCATGCCTGCCCGTTTGGCTGAGGTGCGAAGGATACAGCATGTTACTCCCACTAGGAAGGAGTTGACTTATTGCGCTGTCGCAAGGTCGTTACGTCCTGACGCCGTAGAAATATAGATAGACGTAGCTTCATACAGTATTATTTTAGGTATAAACGTCACGTCTATCTTACATCTAAAATATTCCTACCTCGCAAAGCGAATTGTTATGTTTCTATTAATTACTTCATACATCTTTATCGACGTATGGGAAAAAATTTACCGTCACATTTTTCGGTTACGTGCCATCTTTTTCTTGTCCCTACCACGGTTGATCCGAAGAGATTCGAAGCCATTAAAACTCGTAACAAAAATATATAATAACGATAACAATGATAGTAATAATTATATTACAATTAATGAAATTCTGTAATAATCTTAGTAGTAATAAGGTAAAATGAAATAATTGTATTTGTATTCATGTCTATGATAATAAAAGCCTTTTGTTAAACTTTATCTAATTTAACCAATTTCTGTAAAGTTGCATATATATTTTTCAAAAATAAGGTCATAAAGAAGTTTTTTTATTTTTTATTGCAGCTTCTTCCTGATTGTCCTGATTTCGAATCGACATATGACCTGGGCACAGCGCGTTTGAAGATAAAGCAAGTTGCCGCTGAGGATGAAGGCACCTACACCTGCGAAGCCTCCAACAACCTCGGAAAGGCTACATCCACTGCTTGCTTGGTAGTCTATCGTAAGTTGAACCCTCAACAACGCCTAATTTTATATTGTACCAGAAAGGGATAACTGCGCATTCAAATAATTTTGCAGCAGCCGGAGTTGAGAATTGCAGGTTTAGCCATAAGGCCATGAACATTATTACAATTTTAGTTTTTCCTATAAGTCACATGAGATTTGTTATTTGCACAGCACCCGGGGAACCGAATACTATAAGCCAGCGACTTCAACGTCCACCCGCGCTGGCTTCAGCTGCGTCAACGCCACGATCTACCCCGCGCGTCACCCCAGCGCGTTCTGTCTCACGAACTCCAGCACTTTCAGGTGAAAACTATATATATATTTGATAACAAACACAATTTCAGTAGAATTTATCACAGATGCCTGATACAGAAATCATATACGGTACGTATAAAAGTCTTGAACTTTTCGAATCATGTACCATTTCCATTATAATAATAATGTACTAATTAAAATAAATTGGCACTTTACTGTACACTAAACACTTTTTTTTATTTTTCTTGCTATTTAATTTACGACCCGCGTTGAATTGCATTTTTATTGCAAAAACCGAATTGATTTAATATTTACAAATGATGAATGAATAAAAATATTATATATAAGTATAATATACTTCATTAGGCCCCGAAAGTCATCGCCTTCGCAGTCCAACCCGCGAGGTTGGTCCCAAGTTCTACACTTATCCATTCAACAAGGTGGTGGAAGAGGGGGATAGCGTGGTTTTACAATGTGCGGTTGGAGGATTCCCCACGCCTTGGGCTACCTGGGACAAGGATAGCATTATTATCACTCCCACGTCTCGAATCAGGTATCGGATAGTTTATTAATTCATTTTGTATCGTAAGCGCCCTACTCTAAAATTACAAAAAGTTTTTACCGCTAAATAAATATTTCAGCGTAAAAGAGAAAGACGAAATGTTACGGATTCTGCAAATCGATGAAGTAAACATCGACGATGTCGGTCTCTACCGGATCACGTTGGAGAATGACTTTGGACGGGCAGAGGCATCGGCAAGACTGGAAGTAATCTCGCATAAGGGAAAATTTCATTCAAGATCTAGCAGTGTTTCTCCAGCCCGACTGTACAGACGGAGGACGCCGTCTTTTACAAGACAAGACTGACGCGGACGGTAAGGATTTGACTTGGCTTCTAATTTAGGTTCGAAGTCAACCTTTCTCAATAATTACCGTATTAAAACTCATTTCTTTATAACCATTTCCTTCAAAACCATTGACGAAAGCAGTTGACAGTTTCGGGTAGATTAGCCATAAACAATTGTTTCACGCTTTGAGACTGATAGAAACTGATTGTGGATATCAATGAGAAACTTGAATCACAATTTCTTGATGACATTGTTGAAGAGTAGAAAAGCGATGAAGGATCCGATGTCCGCGGCAACCACAGTTTTTTACCAAAGCTTTGTATAATTGTAAAACTATTTCTAAATGCATTGCGATTTGGGTACCCATTTTAACTAGCGAAGCGAAGCACTGCGAATATTTAATGTTTCCAATAATGTACTAATAAACGTTTTTTAAACTTTTTATATTTAAGTCCCATTTTACTAAAGTAATTATATTTATTTCAGGAGTAGAAAGCGAAGAATGGCGTAAAATTAGACGCATTTGAGTTATTTTACATTAAAATTTGAATATTATACCCTGTTTTTTTATCATATTGTTTTCATAAATCGAGTGTATTTAATTCCAATATTAGTTAATATGAGTTGTTTTATTATTATATATCTCTCCCTGGTGTTGGTGAAATAAACGATATTGCAAATTATTGGTTTATTTTATGAATGTAATTCATTCTTATGACAGAGAACCTCCAACTAGTAATTTTAAAAAATCTAGATTTTTCTGTTTTAATCAATATTTCTTGAGAAAAAGTTATATGAACATTAAATATTATTGGGCTTTTCCATTTATAAATGTAGCAATATTTCTACAACGGCCCGTAACGTGACCGGTTCTCAACAAGTTACTTGTAAGTCTGGGGAAGGTCAGGCGTAATAACAAGATAATTAGGTTTTATATTCTTTATTTTTATTCTACATATTTTTCACAATATTTTTCACATAGAGTCTCATATTCATTAAAAGTGATGCTGAGTAACAGCGATTTTTAGTGTTAACACCTCGATAACTTTCAAAGCTTCGTCGAGTCACTTTAACGGCTGCATTACAAAATAATATAAGAAAAATATTTTATAAATAAGAATTTATAAAGAGATGTTTAAATAAATATATTTTTTACTATTACATAAATATATTTTTTGCTACTACAATTGGCCCAATGCTTGCCGCATTCATAGAGGGTTTAAGACATAACAACAATATATATATTATATATTATAACATTGTTACAATACACACTACATTACGAGAATATATCTTTATACTACGTATTTCACTATTCTTTTTCATGATTAAATCACACCAATTAATTGATAACACATTAGTTTAAGAGTAGACATCAATTATTACAATGCCTGATAAAACAACTTACTTACAATGATATAATTTATCTAAAACGTAGAAGATTAAATTTTCTACAATTGATTAAGGTTTTATTTTAAATGGTATCAAGTGATGCCCCTCGCAAAGCTCGAGAAATCTGCAGGAAAGTTGAAAACATGACTTTCAAGAGCTATTTACTCATTTAAAAGTTTTTGAAGAACAATATATGTCAAACTATCATGCAAATATATATTTATAGGAAATTTCTTTCAATCATTGAAATAACACTTATATACCATTTTAAGAGTACTTTTAAAGTAATTATTTCTATATATAAATAATAAAATTGTTTGCAGCGCAACTAGTATATTTATAGGAGATTTCTTTCAAACATTGAAATAACACTTATATAAGTACCATTTTAAGAGTACTTTTAAAGTAATTATTCCTATATATAAATAATAAAATTGTTTGCAGCGCAACTAGTATATTTATAGGAGATTTCTTTCAAACATTGAAATAACACCTTTATAAGACATTAAGAGTACTTTTAAAGTAATTATTTCTATATATAAGGAATAAAATTGTTTGCAGCGCAACTAGTATATTTATAGGAGATTTCTGTCAAACATTGAAATAACACCTTTATAAGACATTAAGAGTAATTTTAAAGTAATTATTTCTATATATAAGGAATAAAATTGTTTGCAGCGCAACTAGTATATTTATAGGAGATTTCTTTCAAACATTGAAATAACACCTTTATAAGACATTAAGAGTACTTTTAAAGTAATTATTTCTATATATAAGGAATAAAATTGTTTGCAGCGCAACTAGTATAATTATAGGAGATTTCTTTCAAACATTGAAATAACACCTTTATAAGTCATTAAGAGTACTTTTAAAGTAATTATTTCTATATATAAGGAATAAAATTGTTTGCAGCGCAACTAGTATAATTATAGGAGATTTCTTTCAAACATTGAAATAACACTTATATAGTACATTAACTTTTAAAGTAATAGCTGGGGAGCCCAAGAGGGGGTTTTGGGGATTTACTCCAGCGTGGCAGATTAATATACCCACAGGGATACCGATACCGAGATACCTTCTACACGGTTAAGTCTCTCTTCCAAATATGAGCTCCATATATATATGGCCGACCGCCCGGATAAAGGATCAGATTAGTTAATGTTCAGACTTTCTCGAGCGCATCAGATTAAGGTAGGCTAAGTTAGATATGGCAAAAATCAATAAAATTTACATTATAAACTTTATAAATATTTTAGAATAACGTCGAAGTAAACCGGTTCTTCCGGTTAATTTTTATTTTTTATAAACATTTTTGAAATTATGTAGCCGCTCCCCCCACCACCGATGAAAGGGTATACAATATATGACATTTTTTTCTTTTCTTATAATTATCTAAGCTTCGCAACCCAATAGGTATCTATGACGCTCGAGTAAATCCCCATTTAACATTGTGTTTACTATAAATATTTCAATATAATAAGGAAAAAAATTTCTTGCAGCACAGATCTAAGTATTTATAGGAAATTTGTTTCAAACATTGAAATAACACTTAAATACTGTGAAATAACATTATTAACAGGTTCACTGTCCACAAACCATACGAGGTCTGTACACGGAAAGCTCTACACGTTCACAGTCCATACGTGCGTCACGTGTTCAGTGTCTACGCTTACGCTACGGTACAACTTCTAAGCTTTTTGGAGTTGTATAGTTGCGATAGTTGCGTATATGGCGCGGACTTGACAGTACATATCACTGAGAAGCTACAAAGTGCTGGGACATACAGCAACTTTTTTTTCTGATGAAACAATGTGTTAAAATTGGTAAGTATTTTTCATAAAAACGCGTGACGTGACGGGACTTCCACTTTCATGCTTGGACAGTGAACCTGTTAAGACTGTTTACTTTTAAAGTAAATATATATTACAATATTTCGCTATTAGCTACTTTTACTATACTGGTTTTAGAACCAATGTAGCTTTGACCGGCTCTAGAAACTCAACATTTCACTACCTGTTTATCTTGAACGCGTCTCCAGAATAGAATGAACTGTAAAAAAGTGTTTATTTCGTTTGTGAATGTTACAAGGTTAGATATTAGAAGTGCGTCCGTTTTAGGCATAACCAGAAAATTTTTAGTATAATAGTAAGTTTTATATCAGTTTCATGGTATTTATAAATAAAACCGAAAAACACTTACCACAACACGAACATAATTTGATGAATTTAAGTACGTTCTTCACTCTTTAGTATAGCGCTGCGCATGCGGTGAGCTGCGATCAGGATGTTACCGACCCTCTGTGCACAAAGAAATTTAGCATAATATTGCCCTCTAATGTTAAACAGCAAAAGTGAGTTACATACGACACTTAAAGGTCGAAAGAAAAAAGTAATTGGTGCTTTTATACTCTTTTCGACACCAATGTTATTATGGCTTTTGAAAACTTTTGTAAATTTAATTTTTGAAGTTATTTTAAAATTATGAAAGTTAAGTCAAATGCGGCGCTATACGGAATTGTCTCACGCCCGCTTTTCAGAAAACTAATAATGATTTTTTACACAGCTGTAACACAGCTTATAAAGGCAAACACTCATGTTTACGCTAAACTATAAAAGCGAAATCATACCTGCCACCTGCGATTTTTTGCGAGATAATCCCGGAGATTATCTCTGGTCTTCTTCAGAGGGCTGTTACCGAAACCCTTCGATGGGCCCTCTTTTAGCCACCTGTGCTCCAAAGCCATTGCAGCTGTCATTCTAGAGGCAGGGCGTGGCTTTAACAGGTTATTTATGAAATCTTTTGCGAGATCACATATGTTGTTGAAGGCAGGATCGTAGTAGTTGAACTGACCACGTCTTGTCGCAGATATAATCTCAGACATGTTAGACCCGTTGAAAGGCAACATTCCAGATAATCTAGAAAAGTTAATTTGTTAGTATGTATGACATACATTATTGTAATAAAATATACAGCCTTCTTATTAATTTGAAAAAACAGAGTTAAAGCGAATAAAGCATAAATCCAATTATTGAATTTGAAATCTATATTTTTAAAGAACTTAACCTTCAAAGTTGAGTTAAAAGCTTGGACCAAGTCGGCTAGGTATTTCGTAATTTAGGTAGGTACTTACAGCAAATATGTTATCACTCCAAAGCTCCACATATCGCAGCCAGTAGTCAATGGTTCGAAATTAAGTACTTCTGGAGACACGTAGCCCATGGTCCCGTACTTGGTCCATAAGGTTAAGTTCTCAAAGTCTTTTATCTGATGTGCGACGCCGAAGTCGGCTACCTTCACCAGCCGGGTGTTTGGACTTTCGCAAAGTATGTTTTCTGGCTTAATATCCATATGAATGATGTTTTTCGAATGAAGGTATCGAAGAGCTTCGCATATCTGACCTACGTAGACAATGACGTCCGTCTCGTTGATGTGATCATCCTGCACCAACCTTTCGAAAAGTTCTCCCCCCCTCATACTAAAAACATAAGTGTAAGAAATCTGTTAAATTAAAGCTGTTATGAAACATCGTACTTCAATCTATTTTACTGAGCAAAGCTCCAAAGCAATTGGAAAACACACCAGATAGGTGGAAATTTTGCTGATATTTATATTTACAAAATTCTTTTCTAAAGTTATTAATAACATAAACATATGAAAAAATTTTATCGTCTATTAATCTTTATTATAAATTATATAGCATACTATGAAGTAGAGTTTCAAAGTCAAAAGATAAGATATTGGTTGCAAAGTGCATATGAAATGTAGGCTCAATTGGTGGCGGAACAACGGAGACACTTGTCTTTTATAAGAGACGCACAGTGTTTAATGTGACAGAAAATACATGTTAATTTAAATAAAAAAATACTTACAAATCCATAATTAATATGGTGTTTTCGTTTGCGCAGAATGATAAGTACATTCGTACCAACTTTGGATGGTCCAAACTAGTTTGTATATGGTACTCTCTCATGGTCCTGGTCTTCATAATGTTTGATGCTATATCAATCTTTTTTGCTGCGTAGTTTTCTCCGGTGATGAATCTCACTAAATCGACTTTCCCGAAAGCCCCGCCACCCAAATTAACCCTGGTTTCTTTGAAAATTGTCTTATAATTTTTCATCAATAATATCCTCGAACATCTCGCCAGGTAATCCGGTGTCAATTGTTGTGATCTTATTTTGAACGCTGAAGTTTATGTTATAATATTAGTTAACGATATAATATTTCACGGTGGTTATGATTCACTTGATGTTAAATCATAACCGCCGTGGACATTTTCAATACCAGTGAACTCGCGAGTACGTTCCCGGATAGGTATGTACAAATTTTCAAACATGATCACTGACAATGTATGTGATCCACTAAAAGCTTAGACGGATTATGAAGGTAAGGGTTTTAAAAGTAATATCACTCAATACTTAAACTTGTAATTGTGTCGTTTTCAGTGAAAACATTTCTTTGGCTTAAAGCGATCTGATGCTTTTTAGATTTAATTGGATGTGGTTTGAGCCCATTGAATGCATAATTTTCTACTAAACCGCTTAATTTGGAATTGAGAATATACAACAGGAACACATTAATTTGTCATTAAATAAAACTTAAATACCGGCTATAAACGCGATTTCATTACATTATTTACTATTATCCAAGTTTCTAGTTTTGTAAAGTAATTATTAATTTCGTTTTCTCCGTTGATGACAACATACGTGGGTGACACTGAAAATGTTTAGAACTGGCCAGTTAGAAACATTGTTTTATGAAAACTTTTTTTGAATTTCAATTTTAGAACTCTTCGGTAACCTAATCTAGTATATTGCATTCATTTGTTATTTGTTTTTTTGAATTGGCGGCAAATCTACTCTTGTTACACGTGAAAATTAATCTAAAGCGAGAAAATGTTCGGTCAATGATTTATAATGACTTTCGTTGTGGGCTTAAACAACGCTATGATATATACAGGGTGGTCAAAATATCGTGGATCAAACGCTAAAGGGGATAGATGAGGTCATCAACTAAAGAAAAAATCGAGATATTCGCTTTACGAGCCCTGAAGATGCGGTGAAAGCATACGAAAATGCCATGGAAGTGACCCCTAAGGAAGAATGGGCCCACTGCATTTCTCAGTGGTTCCAACGAACGCGACGGTGTGTAGAGAGGAAAGGAGATTACTTCGAAAAGCAATAAAAGTATTGGCAACTTTCTACATTAAGCCGTTTTTCATTTTCTAAACATTCTCAGTGTCAATCAAATAACATATATACTTACCAATATTGTCAGAAAAGCAAAAATCTTTACTGACGCGCTGTGCGCTGATGCGGAATTTCAAGATTCTCTCAACTGGAGCATCTAGCAATTTGAATTGTGGAGTACGTGTGATTCCAGACTCCTCGAAGTCTTCAGCGTCTAACATTTCAACTACAAACCAGTAGTCGGCCGGATTTTGCCTGTCGAGATCACACAATTAAGCAAAGCTTAGAACTTGTGACATTTTACGGTCATACGTAAATTAAATAAAGCAATAATCTCGTAAGACAAGCCTTGAATTTACAGTTGGATTGTTCTTCCTAACGTAGTATAAGCACTTATTAGTCATAGTAGTCACAGTATGTCTTCTTGATTAATAATCAATAAAAAATTGCCATTTAAGAAAAAAATAACCTAATCTTTACATAGTTGCTGCTACAGTCAAATTAGTGTATGACGGCGATGTTCCAGATGTAAACATGAATACTAGCTTACTGGGAGCGTTTCCTAACAAACAAAATCATAAAAACTATAAATTTATTATGCGCCATGATGCCCAGTATTTGCTTTCCTGTCTATATAGAATCGTTGTTTAATCTAACATAGCATCGAGCGATCGATTTATTTAGAAAGGATATTACTATAAAAATAAGTTGAGTAACATTACTACCTAACATAAGTAAATATATACTACCAGAAGAAACTTGTGAATAAACAAAAACGCTTAAAAGAAAATATTTTAAATTCGGAAAAGAATGAACTAGTTGCATACCATGACCCTAAAAGCCCTGTATAACGACTGAGTGTATTCTTGACTTCCGGAGAAAATGTAAATCGAACGAACCATCATCTCATCGGAGATCAAATGATACTCAAATAAACTTAATGTTTACATTCATTTCTCTTGAGAATAAATCAATATAATAAAAGTGAAAGTCGATTTAACAATACATACCATTTGAAGACAATGGCATGTAGCCGCCGGACCGCACCGTTGGGTGTGTTGGCATCCTCGTGAATTCCATTTTCGACGATAACATTTCGAAAAATCTCAGGACTGTTAGAAGTTGCTTCCATCCAGTAAACAGCCTCGTCTAGCCTATACAAAGATTGAACAAAATATTAACAAGGTTGGTCATCGTACGCAATACGTATAAGTATTTTAATATTTTATATATTATTAGAAAACTAAGCCGTTAGCCAAAATTAGCAAATAAAAATAATTTCTGTAAAACTATAACTAACTCTATAGTAGATTCCCGAGGCAGGTTTTTTTTCTCTTATTCGATATTAATTTTAATCTAGTTAGAGGGGAGTTGGAATCTGCAAAAATAGGGTCGGAAACAAAACGACGTGCAGTGAGCAAGCGATTCGAAGAGCAGGATAATTGGTTGAGATGGACATTTGAAATAACTAATTATAATATTTAAATACTTTTTAGAGGTGACAGTAAAAAAAAAGGGTGCGTATACTTATGTACGCGCGTCAGAAGTTATACTTCTTTGGCATTATTAAACATAGTTTTTGATTGCATGAAAATAATTACAATTAAATAATCAAAGACTGGAAAAGGAGTCATTATAGTCAATAAACTTCAGTTTACATTTGAAAAATTAAATAAATAAATATTTATTATTATTCATTTACATTAAGTGTAACATAAATTCTACTATTATTCGAATGTTGTTTTTAAATTATGTTCAATGCCATAGCATCTTCCGTGGGCAACTTCATTCTGTTAATTTTGTGTCGCGCATCGTAAAATTTCACTCTCATCAATTTTTCATAACGCGCCTAAAGAAGTATAACTTCAAAAAATCCAACAAGTGAAGATTCCCCTTAAGATTTAGATAAATATAGAGCTTTGAGATGAGGATGTAGAGATTTTTGTATTCATTAATAATGAAAATGTAACTTACTTGCTGTATGTAATAATCATCGAATTCCCGTTGTTTTTATTGGAGGCCACGGATCTTGGCTCCTGTGTAAAAACATTGGTTATTTGAGTTTATGTTGCCGCTATCGAAACCATTGTACTAGCGTATTGCTTGTATTCGCATTGCTTTTAAAAATAAATCGCAGCAGCAGTAAAATAAAAGCTTCTAGACATAAGCTTGAAATATTTCTTGACGCCAACCTTAAAACTTTATTATTAAAGATTCGCTATTACATTAGTAAGACATTGAATAAATTACAATTAAATATATTTCGCAAGATCGTAACGATTTTCCAAAGTATAACAAATACACGAAATTCAACAGAATTTGAGTTACTACTTACTACTGTAAACGGTACCGCACGCGTCACATTTTTTTTACTTGTATGTGATTGTGTCTCCAAATATAGTACAAAATTATCCAATGGCTTAGTATTACTTGGCGTTGGAACTTGTATCTTCTCTAAAGCCTTTCGTTTAACTTCGTCATTTCCTCTCGCACCTTCACCTTGTGAGTAGCTTGACAAATCAGTTTGGGTTGTAGATGAACCTGTCCATTCACCAGTGTCTGTATCGTGGTTATCTGTTTGGGATTCAGTGAGGCTAATAGGTACAACCTCTTTAACACCGCTGTAGTAGAACCCAGGTTTTTTGTTTGTAACTTTAAGCTTAGTAGAAATAACTTCGCCTATCAATTGAGGAATAATGGTAAGATTTGCTATAGAGGTACAGAGAGATACCGATTTCTTTCTTGGTATTGCTTTACGAATTTGGCACAATACTAATCCTGCCATATCGGGCTCAACTTCTTTTATATGCAAACAAAACTCCGAGCCTCTGCAAAAAACCTGGAAACGATAAATTCAATTATTCCAACGTACATCTTTGCATTACGACAAACTACTTATTACATATATTCGTGCTAAACACTTTAAACTTTATTTAATAACTTACATTGAACTTGTTACTTGATCTTTCCACTCTATATGCTCCAACATCCCATACGGCGCAGCAGAATTCTGGATCTTGTATTTCAAATTCACACTTGAAATCAATTGACGAGCCAAAATAAGTGATAGCGGAATTAAGCGGTTGTATTATTTTAACTGGTGTTGGTTTCGGTGTTATTCCTTGGAAACCAGAAATAATATTATTAAATTAATTGAAATAAAATTAATTAAAAATTCAATTAATTTACTTTTGGATATCATCAACATAGAACGAGATTACATACTTTTAACCAATAGTTTGCACTCGCACGTCTCTGAGCGTCCTGTCTCTATGTTGCTGACAGTTACCCGGTAGGTTCCGGTGTCTATCATGCTTGCAGTGAGAAATCTGAGTGCAATATATCGACTGTTGTAATATTGGACCTCAATGTTATCATTAGCTTTCCATATGTTGTCATCTTTGAAACACTTGAACACAGTGTGGTTATCATAATAAATTTTAAAAATAATTCTTGCTTCTTCTCCTTCATACACTTCTTCGGTCTTCGTAAATGTTTCATCGACACGTGGAATGTAATCACCTATCGGTAATAATTTCTCTTGCTCCAATTTTACCACTATTACTTCGGCAAAACTCGATTCTACGCCATATTTAGTTTTTCCAACCACGTGATAGATTCCCGTATCAGTCTCTTTTGCTTTTCTTATAGAGAGAGATGTGTTTTTATCGTCATTCAAAATTATTCTTCGAGCTCCTTCTTTCACGACTTTATTGTTCTTAAACCATTGAAATTCCTCAATCTTGTTTTTTTTTAATGAGGCCTCTAGCTTAATGGTGTCGTCAGCATAAAATTTCGAACTAATAAGCTGCGTCTGCATACCCATCCTGTGTCTAGGCTGCGCTTTAATATAAAATACTCCATTTGGAATGTTTGGCTTAGCTGGTTTGATATAAAGTAATACTTTTACTTGGGTAGAAACTTCATTGCAATGAAAAATATATACACCTTGATCTTTTGGAGTGATGGAAGTTAAGATAAGTTTACAAAAATTCCCAGTGGATGACGTTTTAATTCTTCGCCAAGATGTTATCACTTCGCCGTTTTTGTACCAATAAGTTTTGACTTTCTTTCTTGCCGAATTCGATAGGTCACATTCCAGAGTAAGGCGACCATTTTCATTGACAATTATATCTTGCATACAAAAATCTACATCCAGAGAGACCGTAATCGGAGCGTCCATTGTATCTGTTGTATCATAAACCTTTATCTGAAAAAAATGTGTGACGCTTTATTAAATAACGGAATTTTCATTATTTAGCAATGAAAAATACCACATATAAACGGTTACGCTTAGAATTTATAGTGACAGTGTTTATTTTATCGTTAACAAATCTATGCGAATCATAAATAATGGGAATATTTTGTTTCCGCAGCTAACAAAATTGCAAGATTTTTAATTACGATACTAAATTAGTATTAGGACTAAAACAATCGAATTCTTCTTAAAACTACATTATGAACTAAGTTTATCTAAGTAAGTTTTTAATTTTGAAAACCGGCGCATGACTTGCATGTCGCTCGTGTAATTGCTATGAGTCACATATTAAATAAGGTCATACAAGGCGACGCACCAAAACACGACACACGACCTCCACACTCTATCTTCATAGAGATTTTGTTATCTAAATGTTTTACTATTAATCTTTATTATATTTAGTTATTTATAAGTAATATTTTTGTGGGGTATATTTCGATTAATATATTTTTACCTTCACAAAACGGAAAGGTTTTTTGTGTCGTCTAGGCAAAAGTTTTAATTTCAATACCTTTCCATAATACACAAATAAGAGATATTGTTTGCTCTACAACCTAGCTCGGCCTCAGATTCGTAGCATTTATAACTTTTAATTATAAGAAAATCGGTGAGCCAAACGCCAAAGACGTGTTGGTTATTTTCACCATATGAGCAGATATTATAGGTATAGTATAGGTTTGAAGCGACGACTGTTAGGGTTGACATTGGCCGAATCTCTCCAAAAATAAAATAAATATTTTTATATAATTATTATACGATTAATTCGTATAATAATTATTATTAAGACTAAAAATGAATATTAACTCAAATACTTAAACAGCCGAAACATTTAAATAAATTACTCTCTTAATAATATAATCTTTCAAAAACTTTAGTGTTAATAATTACTTTTAAAGATTGTTTTTTAGAATCGTAATTTTAAGTTAAAAGGTAATTTTTTAACGTTTTAGTTCTATTCAGTCATATTCCAAATTGTAAATAAAATAATATTCCCGGCCAAAAATGCTGTACTATTTCTGTTAAACTTACTGTTTCCGCAGGCTAGATAATAAGGCTGTTATTAGTATGAACATTGTACAATAACTTACATCGCAACTAGCCTACCTGTATGCAACAAATATATAATTAATACATCGAAAATAGCACAAACTTTCTAAAATAACCTAGATAAAATAAATTAAATGATTACAATTTAAGCTAAATTATAACGATTATACTTAATAAGATCGAAATATTTTATGGAATCAATATAAATCTTAAAAAATAATATAGAAATAATGCATCAAGGCGCACAAATATCGAATAAATTGCCTTCGAGTTTAAAAGAAATTAATTATATGTATTTACAAATTTAAAAAAAACCACACATATTATGTCTATAAAAATCGTAAAAGTTCAATATAAATTTATGGAATAAATATGTATTTCCAAAACATGTCTGTGAATGAGCGTCTAAGAAATTATTACTATTTGTCTAAATATGTATGACGGAGATTGAATGGCGCGCTATTGTTAATATTATTTTCAACTTTCCAGTACTTTACACCACATAATAGTAACTTTTAGGTATAAAGAGTCACTGGGTGGTCAAGAAACGTTTTACTATTGGGTACAGAAAAACGTTACGGCGCGTTACATGGGGGAGGGGGGGTCAATAATCTCCAAAAATTGCGTTACGTAATACTTGAACGCTCCCTTAACATATGGTCCAAAATCGAACCGGATAACGTCGCTATTGTTAATGTTATATAATAACATTATAAAAGTGAATTTAACCTATAAAAACGAAATAAATTACTTTTACGTTGGGCTGTGTTCAGTTTTTTCAGTGGGTCTGAGTAATCGGATAATTACGAACTACGCTCAAAGTCATAGTGTACGATGGAGGGTCTCTTTGAGTATCAATTTAAGTTGTAGGAGACATTAAGAAGTGCAGAAAAGAATTATAGGAAATCACCGAAAGACAGAATAAAAATACCATATATAGAAACTCGATTAGAAATTTTAGAACAATTATGGTGGGACTTTAAGGAAGGACACAAAACTTTAATTTTAAAAATATCTAAAGACGAAGAAAAGGAAAGTACCTATTTTAAAGGAAACTTTAGTGATATTTTTGGTGAGTTATATATTCAGTCAAGTCCACTATGAAGGAGGACTTTCAACGCTTAACTTTGACTTTCACATACCTCAATAGCGGGTGGCGATGAACAGAGGTTATTAAATGATATTAAATTACCGTCAATACAAATACCGAGGTTTTGGAGGTAAATAATATGAAGGATGGACAACTTTTTATGACTCATTTTGCTCCTTGATTCATAACAACAAGTCTTTATCACCGGTACAAAAACTACATTATCAGTCGTTACGCAGTCATTTTACGATTTGCCATTCTGATAAGCAATAAACTACAAGCTCCCTTCTTATCAGAATGTCAAATCATAAAATGACTGCTTCACGACTAATTTGGGCGCGACCGCCGATGCGAAAACCGCTGTGTGAGTTCGAAGAGTGAGTTACAGAATCGCAGGGCTGAAAAGAAATTTATCGGGTGATCCAGAACTATTAATACGCAACTTTTCGACTACGGACGCAAACTACGATGAGGCATGGAACCAGTTAGTGAAACGCTATAATAATATTTACACAGAAGGTTATATGTACGGAGACATCGAGTTCAATCAAACAATTGGTAGACACTATACGTCGGTATGCTTAAAAACATTGCAAAATCTCGGTTTGAAAACCGACACTTGGGATATGATTATTAACTATTTAGTAATATCAAAGATGGACTATGAATCAAAAAAGGGATGGGAACAACAACTTAGTTGGAGTAATACCGAATTACCTACTTGGACAGAACTGCGGGATTTTCTAGAAGCTAGATTTCGATCGTTAGAAATGATAGACAGTCACAGAGTAAAATCACCGTACCCTAAACCTGTTGCTACACCTATTGCTAAACCTAAGTCCTTTCATTCAGGTATACACAAGGATGTGAAAAAACCGGAAGTCAAATGTGTGTTATGCAGTGGTGAACACTACATCTATTATTGTAAAGAGTTTGCAGACATGTCTACAAAAGTCTACATTTTAGATATTCGATTAAATTGCAAAATGTTTTTATTATGCAATATAACTTGTACAAAGCAAGGTTTCATACGTACTTTTTTACTTGTATAAGTCCAAATAATGTTCTAATAAAAACTTCTAAAATATTTTACGCAGAGTTCTAGATTGGACTCTTTAGGAAATTCATACGGGAAAGCCTATTGAGATGAGATGTTTATCATCTTATCAATCGCATTAGCGATACGTAGTATATTATTCAAATAGGTATTTAAAAATGCGCCTAGGTCCTTGTTAAAGGTAACAGATATTTAGTATTCAAAAGTGTTACATACTACTGAAGTGTATTAATATAACCTCGGAGTAGATCAATAAGATTGGAAGGGTTTTCGTCGGTTTCTACAACCAGCGTCTATTACACACAATCTATAATTACAGTTAATTCACACACAGATAAAGAACATAATTCAAACAGTCAAATATTTATTTACTTATTTATTTCCTTATTTTCTACATTGTACGCTTTGGTTACAGACGGACATAATATTATATCTCCGTCGTTATGCAGTATATCCGTGTGAGTCTACACTTTAATAAATAATATACCGTATAACTAGTACTTAACTGATATAAAAAAATCAATAAATCACGAAACTAATTAAGTCTGTTTTCTTATTGCATTTTTTATAGAAATACGTATAGTAAAAGGTTTAGAAATTTACTGATTACGAGGTAGGCTACAAAGTGAAACATAATATTGCAAATGCCGATATTATGTCAGGACAACATACGAGCAAAAAAGATAACAAGCAATACCCGTACCGCTTGTTACGCATTACGATTATAAAATAAAATAAAAGTGTGTGTGTGTCAGCTACGACGCACGATTGGAGTTTACTCCTTACGAACGATAAAATGGCGATAATGTTCTGTGGCTGTCGACCATAATATTTTCATACTAAAGGTGGTAAGAATATATGTTTTTATAATATAAATGTTTGTAGTAGTAGTAAAACGTAGCTACATCATCTATGCCCAAATAGGATTTTCTTTCTGTGACCAAAGTTACCTTTATAGTAAGATAAGAATAAGAATGAACAATCTTTTTAGTTTTAATTTCACTGACCATTACTATTGACAAAACTCTATGGCACGCTAGACAATCTACTATTATTTTTTACACCTGTCAACACTGACAATGTTGTAACGTGGCTGTCAAAACGTGAATTCAAAATAGAAAAATCTGTGTAATGTATTCCATCTCATTCTTTTACACGTTCAATCCTACAGATATATATGTTTGTCTCTTTCTACATAACGCCTCAACTTTTCGTGTTTCTACATAACGCCTCAACTTTTTGTGTTACACTTGATTTTACTCCTCATAAAATTTCCGTACCGGGCCTTATAACTCAAATCGTTTCTTAAGGAGTAAACTCTATATGTTAGTCTCTTTCTACATAACGCCTTAACTTTTCGTGTTACACATAACGCCTCAACTTTTCGTGTTACACTTGATTTTACTCCTCATAAAATTTCCGTACCGGGCCTTATAACTCAAATAGTTTCTTAAGGAGTAAACTCCAAAAAGGTTTTAAAGAAACATTCTTAACTTACTCTGATACAAAATTGCGCAGCGTGAAATTTGAAGTGATTATCGCAGCTTACCCGCGTCGCCAACATATATCCTTTCCATTATAGTTTGTCTTTATTCGTTTCTTTAAATGTAGGCTTTATAACCCCGTGCGCAAGTATGTAAAATATAAATAAAAAAAACCTAAGTAAATATTAATAAGTTAGTAAGCGATACCCAAGGAAATAAATTGTGCGTGTACTAGGTGTACACACGT